AGCAAAACATGCTTATCGCTTCGGAACACGGTAGTTCTGGGTATAAATGTTGTTGCGGCCACATGGAGATTCCGTTTCAAATGAAGGTTCGTTTCAATGGTTATGGTATATTGTTGCACAGACAACTAGGTTCCCGAACAGTCTCACATAGCTTAAGCAAAGTCGTTAACCTTACGGTGAGTGTGTGTGTCTCTTAAGCAGCTTATCACTTTCATCAATATGATACACGGTGCTGTGGCCTTTACTAGCACTGAACCTCGCATTAGATGCATTTGTGTTGTAGAGCTCTTATACATGTATCAAGCCATGTGCAGGGTTTTGTTACGAAACAGGGTTCCAAAAATTAACATCCCTATACCCAGTTTCAAACATCAGGTGCAACGCTGTGAAAGCTATGCAAGAAGTTCGGTCAGCAAAACATGTCACTTCGTACGTCTCGTGGTCAACTTTTGTCATTGTAGAAGTGCCAAGCATTTATAACGAACATGATCATTTAATACTGAGCCCAAGAACAAGGAAACAAATCTATTTTGGGAAGTATCAACATTGAAATATTTTTTTAATGTGAATGCATCGACTGCAACAAGTCTTGCTAGCCTCATAGCATTGCACCTGATGTGTCAAATGTAAGTATAGCAATGCAGATAAAATATTTAGCTTTTTGTACATCTTTATAAATTTCTCCTATTTTATCAGTTCTCGGTACGATAAGCGTTAGAAAGCCTGGGGGCAAGAATAAAGCTCGGTGATGGACACATTGAAAGGCCTAAACCATAGGAACAGTACTCGCAAGGCTTCGTTTATAAGTATGCCTTCTATTACTATTTTCCCTAACCTCCATCTATAATTATGTAAAAGGAGCTATTGAAGTTTTGCACTCTACCAATAGGCTGACTTCCTACAAGTCATCAGAAACCTGCAGACATCCTGTGTGCTCAGCACGATACACAGTTTGAAAGAAGGGATTTAAATGGAGAATTGAAAGAATTTTTGACCTGAACTCGTGAACACAGTCTCTTACGCATTGCTGCGTGTAGTCTTTCAGCTTGGTACGTCTAGGTCAACAGCGCTGCGTAATTTATTGAAGATCAACTTCTTTCTCTCGCCAGATCTTGCAAGTGTTAGGTATAGTTACAGAATTTATTTCTCAGATTCGGAAATGAATCTGCGTGAAATAAGTGTGTTTAACCGTACCCCCCCCCCCCATATATATATATATATTGTATACACTATATATATACATATATATATATATATATATATATATATATATATATATATATATACATATATTCACACTGGTTTGACGAACAGCTTTACAATTCTGTTCGAACCATACACCATTATTCACAAACAACAAATGCTGAAGGGGAGACCATCGTAGGAGGAGCCTTGATTGGCATTTTTATTTGAACATGATGAAGCCCGTAGGTTTTGACAACTGTCGTATCCCAGCTTATCCCCTTAGAAGCACAATGCTAGCAGAGTGGAACTGCAAAAAGCGCTATTGATCGAAGCTAGGCACCACACAACACCGTGACAACCGTTCTTTAGAGCACAAGAGAAAAAGTCTTGCAGGTACATAGTGCCTAACAAATAGGCCCCGTACAGGACAGATGCCACGGCAGAATAAGTGATTTTCGTAAACAAGGCCTTGGTCAAGGGTACATATGAACCCTGCAAATAAAATGAACTTGGAAAGTCTGGTTAGAGCGGCTGCAATTACGCTTAGCTTCAGTCTATGGTGATATGTCAGTGGCAATTAAAAGCTGTCCTGACTTTAAAGAGAGTAAACACTGTCAAAAGTAGTTCCTCCAATGCCAATGCACGGTATCTTGTATACGTAGAGGTTCAATTTTTATAAGAGATGTGAAAAGAAAAGGCACACCCAGGTAATGTACATTAAGTTAGATGTAATTGCCCTGAAGCCTCAACTTGCAGCTGTCATAGTGGCCCTTACTTTCACAAATCTGAAGTCGCAAGATGTTTATTTTAAAGTCCCTTGGGTCAAGTATGCCCTAATTTGTAGCACAAAATACCCCGAGTATTCCAAAATACTGAAGTATCTCTTTCCTGCCAGCATAGCTTTTCATTTGAATGATGACATGTTGAGTGGAGCCTTCAATAAAGGGGTGTAAAACAAAGCCGTTCCAGGTACACAAGTGGCAGTAGCTTGGGAAGCATCTCTAATATCGCCCCCCAATCAGTTTTTTTTTCTTTTTTTTTTCATTCTTCATGCGTTCAGGCAGAGTAAGACAAGCTGGTGTGTTGCAGCAGATAAATAGCTTATCACACACGATACGGCAGCCTATTCGACTCAACAGGACCTTCAGCAGCATCCAAACAAAGCCTTACAAGTGATGAGTTGGTGAATGGTTTAGATGTGAGCATTGCATCATGACCTAGTTCATCCGAGAACACTATGAGGCATCTTTGCAGCATGTTTCAGCACGAGATAAAAAATTGCTTGGGGGTTCATGTAAAACAGGACCACGCAGTAGACAAGAAGTTCAATCCATTCAACATGATTACGTTAAATAAATGCCAATAAAAGCGGCCAACAAAAGGTTGCTTCAGCGGCAAAAGAGTATATAAAGAAGACTACACTAGACAATGCCATCCTTAGTAACTCGCCACCTTTTAAAACAGTACGTCGTAAGTACTTGCCTGCAATTCCCCTTGCCTGCATAGTATTGTTCATGCAAAATTTAAAATCATTCTGCATGTGTGCAGCAGTAGTGCTTGAAGCCTCGCCACGTAGGACGCCGACATTTCAGTAGGTACCTTCCACCCGAGAAAAAAATTTGGGGGGGTTACGTCAATCAACAAGAAGGAGGTCAATTTACACTAGCACCACACTAATAAATCACTCAATATTACAATTTCCCATAGCACTGACATGTTCACGCGAAATGTTTTTGGGTTACTACACTATATTCTTGCGAGTTATTGTGCGCTTACTGATGGGGACATAGTGGCTACAGTGTGCATGTTGCCGGGCACAGTGTTGAGGTTTCAACTCCTGGCTGCTGAGATTGCTTAGAAGAATACAGAATGCAGCTTAGCATCAGCTTCGAGGTGCAGGAAATGGGTATGGAAATTTGTCGCAGAGAGGGCTATTGAAACTCAGTGAATCAGACCTGTTACCTCATGAAGAATACATCAAAAGCTTTCTATGGAACAAAACTGTTAACGAGCATGGCTGCTGATAGAGACCTTAACTGCTATACAGAGTGTATTCACTCATCCTTGTGACATTAAGTGGCCTGTCACATATACCCACAGGGTAAATCACAGCTTAAATAGAAGTGACAAATAAAGCAGCAAACAGTTCGTAAGTGCCGTAATGAATAAAGCTACTTTCGTCTCCCGTCGTCTTCTCACTTGGCTATTCAGCTTCGAGGCAGTCAAACGCTTGACAGTATAGCTGTTCGTTAAAATCGGTTCGCTGCGGTAGCTGGTTTCTAAAGAAAAAGAAAGGTGCTCTCCAATCGCAAGCAATAATTGAAAAAGTTTGCAGCAGCTTGACACTCAGATCTTGTGCAGGTACAAAAAAGCAAAAAGCTATTACTTGCACCGATTGGTCAGCATACAGAATCGAGGCTCTTTGCTCTTTCAGCCAATGTAGCAATTAAGGAGATAAGGTGTCGCACTGCTAAGCTCTGGAGCGCAGATTCGATTGATAGCCACGGCAGCTGCATTTCTGCGGAAGTGGTACCAAAGAACACCAGTGTGCGTGTCAGGCAGTCAAAATTAATATGTAGTTTTGCAGAAACACATGCTTCATAATCATATCATGGTTTTGGAAAATGAAATTGTGTAACATTATTATTTGTTAATCTATATCCCTTCAACCCTGAATCATTTCATGTAAGTGCAAACTCTGAATCATGAGTGTGTGCATAAGGGCACAGACTCTGATTGAATGGCAGAGAAAAAAAAGAAAAACAGTTTTTGTAATCACGCCTAGAAGGACTTCTTTATCGATTGCACTCTTGGGATCCGAGGTGGCATATATCCATGTGCTGCCCAATTTTTCATATTCATGCGAGTCTAGCATATTTGCATAAAATGCTATGAAAATGTTGCAAACGTTAATGCTATAAGTGCAAATTGTTTCTCAAGTACTTTCTGATGATGGAATGTGTACGTTGTACAGAGATGCTGTAGAAGTATGTAATGCTGCCTATGAAAACAACACCCCCATACAAACAACACCTTCTGGGCATATCACCAATTAATGCGTGTACTTTTTAACATACCCAACGTTTCACGTTGCCTGGAAAGAGAATTATAAGTTTCCATGAAAGAGCATAGCACAGACCCATTTTCATGTGCTAGCTTAACCACACACGCAAGTAAGTGTGTGGTCATGCTTGGCGATTCGCACACACACACAATAAAAAAAAAGGGTGCTTAACAGGATGCGGTGCTCATTTGTTTCTCTTGCAATTCGCTACCGTTGAGGCAAAGATTGCCCCTATTTTTCGAAGATTCCTTGTGAAAAGAACAATTTCTGGGTATATCAGCAATTAATGTGTGCACATTTAAGTAGGTGCTTCTAAGGCAACAGCATGCCGAGAAAAAGAAACTGCAATTAAGCTATACTGCAGAACCATTAAGAACAAAGGTGAACGACTACGGATTTCACTGCGCTGATAAAACTGTACCTAGATGTGTGGTGAAATAAATGAAGTCTAATTAAGACAAGCTTGGAAGGCCATGTTATGTAAAGATTCTTATCTTTTCTTCAAACTTTTGTCACGCCCTAGTAACTGGCATAGTATCCCATTCACTAGAAATGAAACAGGCCATTCACAGCTGTTCTGTAATGCTTATCATTTTTTACATTTCTTGTTATATGTCGTTCGTTGGTATATTGTCACACCATTATTGCTAGTATAGGACATTTAGTGCAATGGGTGGTAGAAGAAAATAATTCTTGCACAATATCTCTGCACATTATTATTTCAGTAAGAAAATAATTCTTGCACAATATCTCTGCACATTATTATTTCAGTCCTTTAATATACCATCTTCACTCAAGAAAAATAGGAAGCCAACAAGGGATCTTGCAGTGACATATTGCAACACTCCACTCTGTGACATGTACAGTAAAAGTTCGTTAATTCGAACTCAGAGAGGAGTATACAATTGTTTCAATTAAGTGTCTGAATTAACAGGTGGGTGCTAGAATGAACAAAAATCACGCCACGCTGCCTGGGCAGATCCCAAAGAAGTCACTTCTGACTCATTCAAATCAAACAAACATGATTTCGCCCACAAGTTTGCGTAATGTGGAACACGAGAGAGCTCGAGAAAAAGTGGATCTATCCACTTGAGAAGCCTCGAGTCCATGTTTTAGATGGCATACAGCGTGAGCGTAAGAGTTTCTGCAGAATTTATACAATGCCTGTACTAATGCAATATCACAATAGTTACAAGAAATACTATACAATATTTATACATGCTAGCAATAAAATTATTCATGTAATCATGACAACCAAATTAGCATTACATTACACAACCTTTATCGTAAGTTATGTGCCACTACATGTTTCTCGCAGCTGATTTCGTAAAATTGAGTGTATGTAGCTCTAACATTAAACAGAATCGATTGACCAGTCGATGATTAACCAGAAATGAGTGCGGATATGCATTCATGTGAGCACTGAGCCATATTGTTGAAGTATATGGCGATATTTATGCTTCAAAACACATTTACAGTAAAACCTCGTTAATTTGAAGTCACTGGGACCATGAGAAATTCTCTATTCAAGTGGGTTTTCCAATTAACAGAACATACAAAATGATATGCTAGAAACTTACAATTATTCAAATTAATCAGGGCTGGTCGTTTGCTGTGCCGGCTAGTTTGTGGCTGCAAGGGTTGTGTTTTCCAGCAATACCTGGAAACACAATTTTGCCGCAAACAAGGGGGAATTCCGAGCCTAACCCCCGCCACCAAGAAAAAAAAATGTGATCAACTAAAATATTTTGACCCGCGAAAAACAAGACATTTTCACTGCAATAGAGTAGTGACCTGCAGGAAGCATGTCGCCTGCTTCTCGAAGCGTCAGCACGTCATAATGCAACCATTCGCCCATTGTTTTTCGTAAAATAATTTTTATACGGACAGTGTGACGAAATTCGCGATGTTTTGTTTGGCTGAAAAACATCACTATTGAAGCTTTCAGCCCGAGTTTTCGAAGTAGGCGTTACAGGCAAGAGCTCTGTCAACAGTGCAAGTGCGCAAATTGCTGGAGCAACCGGCACTCGCAGGTACGCATACATTATGGATTTCTCCAGACTGACCTTTATTAATTTCTTTAATTTCCAGAATGATGATGATGAAACAAACTTCATTTAATTAGCAGAAAGATCTTCCCCCCCCTTTCAGGTGCGAAAATTTCCAGAAAGAATGAATAAGCTGTGACGCGATGACGTTGCGAGAAATCATGCAACACACTGCCCACATGTCACTGGTGTATTGCAGTGAAGCATGCCTTGTTTTTCACAGGCGTTTATTTTAATTGATCATGAGACCGCTTTTCTTTTTCTTTTTTTTTTCGCGCTGGAAGTGGCAAGGCAGGGGTGCTTCAGCTATCACTAATTATTATCGCTAAAGCACATTGCCTAGTGGTTCTTAAGGACCGTCCTTTCCGCGGATTCGCGGCGAAATCAGAATTGAGAATTGGCACACTGCACCCAAAGTTTTCGAATTAACCGTACATGTGCTGACCACCGCTTCAAATTATCCGCTCAAACTTAGATTGTAAAATATGGGAACACAAAAATACTTCAAATTAAGTTAGATTACAAAATAATCGAGTTCTAATTAACAATATTTTACTGTATTAATACATGGCAGGGTTAATTCAATGAAAATTAAACGTAATCAGTAAATTGCATTTCTCTTGTAGCGACTCTATAAGCATCGTTCTCCGCTTGCACACGAATTCCAGCACAGCGGCTGAATTTCCTTGGAGGAGAAATGCTGTTGTTTTATTGTTTTCGCATCTGAAGCAGGTCTGGTTTGGTTTTGTAACAAATTGTGATCATTCTGGGTCGACTTATGCGAGGAGCAACGAATACCAGGGTCTCTCAGTTTAAATTACCTGTTGTCGATATAAACACTTCGAATCCGCGGGAGTTTTGCCCCACAGATATACACTGGACTGTGCTGGGACTGGGGCGTCAGTTTGAATGAACTGTAAAAGTTAGAATAAACCGAGTTCGAACTAACGAGCTTTTACTGTAGCTCCTTTCGCAAGATGTGCAATCCATACCAACTAGCCAAGTTTTCACTTTCAATTAACATATCCAACATTTAGTTGATGTTGCCTGCAAACAGAAATACAAGCTTCTGAGAAAACATTGCACAGAGCCATTTTCATGTGCTAGTTTGAGTTCTCCAACACTCACAAATAAACAAATAAGCCTGAAGAAGCACAAGTCCAATAGAGGGCTTCTTCACAGCAATGTCTTAGAGCTCTAGAGAGTATTCTGGATTGTAGCAATAACCAGGATAAAAGCTCAGCGTTTTATAATACTTAGTGTGTTGTACCAAGGCTAAACGAATTTCAAGCACCAAACAAAACTGTGACATACAAGCATTACACATATACACACAAAAGAAAACTGTTAGCACTGCTTTCCCATGGCAGTAGCACGTATGCCCAGTTGCAATCTTTGGTGTGCTGTTTTACCACACAGCATGAACACAATACACAGGGGAGGCATGCAAGCCAGGTAAAGGTTTGTGCAATGACAAAACAGTGTGCGTGACAACAAACAGTGAGCCGCAGGTCAAATGCATACAAGCCAAACCTGCAGGCTTGCTTCAAGAGCAGACGAATGGCTGCAATGCAGTACACGTGAGCACACATTTTGGGTTGGCTTGTAAGATGTGCTCGCATGCACACTCTTCACAAAAGTTGGCTAGGAATAAAACACTACAGCTGTGCCTGGGCACACGGTGACACGTAGTTGATGCCGATGTCTGTAGGGCCTTCAAATGGAACTATCACAACTGCATGCCGTAGCAATTACCGAGTACAACATTAAGACCACTCAAACAATATTCATTGCTCGAAACAATGCCACCAGGCTTTTTGAAAAGCATACAGCTTCAGAAGGTGGGAACACGTTGAGCTCGTGAGGGGGGCGCATCTGTTGCAATGCTTGACTGGCCACTTTGAGGAAATGGTTACAGTGCGACATTTCTTGCACTGTCTATTGATTTGGTACAAACATATTTAAAAATATCTCGCTTCTAACACATCATTGTCAATGCACAGCTACCCATTACCACTCGTCTGGCGTCATCTAACACTCAGTGCAACGGCGAACGCTATGCAGAGTGGTATAGTGCTCAAACGAGGCGTTCATGGTAAAACCCAATATAGTCACTATGACAACAGAGCCACTTAGGTCAGGCTATGTCTTCCTTGCATGGCTGCCTGTCTCTACCCAACGACACATTGGTAAATCCTACCAAAGCACTTGCTAGTGAGTGCTTACATGTACCAGCATCGTGCTTCAGTCTGTCCCAAGTGGCAGCAGACGAAAGTAAGGAGCTGTTTGTTACAAAGACTCACTGTGTGCACCCTGTAATCTCGTTGCATATGTCTTGCCACCACCCACACGTTTCGACAGGCAGATGAGATGTCAAGCTTTGGCAGCACTGATGGCAGGAAGTTCTGTTCAGAAGAAAACGAGGCAAGTCGCTTTGGAGCCAGAAGGGCACCCCATGTGTCGGGTATGGAGAACCCAGGTGTCATTTCTGGATGGATAAGTTGTATAAAAGGAAACTACCAGTGAGTTTTGCCACAGGGAACACAACAGTGCCAGAGGACGATGGTCAGGGTGGTGAGAAATACATCTGTTCGCAGCACATTTGTCGGTACGGTGGGGGGTAAGGCCAAGCACCGCCCTTGAGCATTTCATACAGGTGCATCTGTGGCTCGATGCTACTTGATGGATGCTGTCATGTAGCCAGTAAGCATTTCGAGCGCCTTGAGCACCTCCTGACGCTGGCCCCGGGAACAAGACAACACCGCCGACTTACGACCATGCATCAGGCCTTCAAGCAGCTGCTCCACCTGTCAAACATACGTAGAGTAAGTAGTACAATGTGCCTGCAAAAGGTACCACTGCACTAAGATAGCAGCGTATATTTACTTTCCGTCAATTATGGCTGCCCAATATATAAAAACTGAGGCAACAAGAGTGCTATGTAAGAGCATGGTTTTTCTTCATGCCTGTTAGCAAAGTGTGCTGATGGTTGATTGCATCACAGAAATTGAGAGCTTGGAGAAAGTATTTAATTTACGAGCAATTATAAATTACGTCACTGCATTGCATCTTGAATATGGGACGTGCAACTCTAGTTCATGGCTTTGTCTGTTTCTAAACATACTCTCAAACCTCAATATTGCGACACAGATATAGGGAAATAATAAAGGATAGTCCTGTCATAGATAGAGTACTACCGTGGTCCTTGAATACTTTTTTTTTTCTGGTCATGAAACTCCTGCAAAAGTTTCATATTGGGACAAAAGTGGCCACCAAAGGTGCCACTGTAAGCAGGAGGGCATCGATCGGCCGCACTTGGCAGGGCTGTAGCGCGTTTGCGGAAGCCTTTCCCATCAAATACACTTCTTCAAATATTTTTATTCGTGTTGTCGCTAACAATTCATAGCAGTTATTCGTATTGTCTAAGTGCCTAAGTCCTTGATTACTGGCAATGTTTTAACTGAGTCCGTCTGTCAAGTGACGCGCATTCGTAGCGTTTCTTAATTTCTCAATCCCTGCATAGTCGCTTTCGGGCTTAAACCGAACACTGTGACTGGTTCTAGATGACTGAAAGGTTAACATATTTTGCGCAAAAGATTGTAGAGCAGACGTGCTCTGGTTGCACGTAACGTTCATTTTCGGAATAACTGTCACTTTATTCTATAGGGCATCACAAAGCAGCCGATATAAGTTCTGTATATCAGGGTAACATAGCATTGACAACCTTAAAGTAACTTTTGAGGGACATCGTTAGGGATAAAGCCAAAAAATTAAAAGCTCGGAATGAGACACCACAAGATAGAAAGGGATGCTCAATATGTGTCCTTCTTTTATATAGTGTCATAATTTGCGCCTTTGATTTTAAAGATTAAAAAATGAGATGAAACTGTTGTGAGAAATGAAAGTTTTGGTTTTACGTATGCAGATTTGATAACGCAGCCGAGTTTTGATATACACTTTCTTTTTTATCTATTCCCATGTACTCTCCCAATGACCAATAAGTCTGCGTTCTAATAAGCCACCTGGTTTCTCCTACGCGCATATAGAAATCAACCAGGATCTACGCCAGCACCGTGGAAAATGCAGGCGACGTATGAAGCTCTCCCATTGATTGACGCAGGAGTTTCATGACCAGAAAAAAGTATTAAAGGACCATAGTATTACAAACATATGTTTATAAATTTTCAGATGTAACAAAGTCATCGATGTGACTTTGTTATAATGAGGTTATAATATTTATATAGAAACATTTCCCTTTTAGTTTTCTTACAGGCGCAGCTTAGCCGAAGTCGCTCTTGCGCCAATAAACGTAATATAACTAACTAACTTTTCTTACAGACACCAAGTGCTCTTTTAGGGACAAGCAAATTATGGCCCGATGTACAACAACAAGCAGGCCTACCTGTGTTTGAGTAGCACAGCCTGAAAGATCAGCGTGAGTAGCCAGCACAACACAAGGGCGCCCTTTCAGCTGTGGAAGCACTTCGGCCAAAGTCTGACGAGACTCCTGTAAAGAGCTCTCGCTGGCAGCAGCATCCAGTACAAACAGCACTCCATGTGCATCCCCGAAATACTCCTGCCAGAACGGACGTACTGAGCCTGCATAAGAGGGCATAAAGCACCACTCAACATTTTTCAATAATGAGCCACCCCAAAGCCACCCGACATTTAATACGTCTTAAGTAAAGCTGTGTATTGAGTACAGAACACTACAACAACAACCTTTGCCAAGCACAGCAGCACGACGCAATGATGTGGAAACCACAAATTCAGTTAATGCACATTGTGTTCTTTTGCACATGTTCTTAATGCACATTATGTTCTATGAGCTCTTCTGGTCTCTGCTTTGCACACCGACACCAGCAGACATGCACGGTGCTACAAAGGTAACATCATTTGTTCAGTGACTGACCAAAGATTGGAGCCTGCCAATGTCCGACATTATTTTTTAACTATGTTTCTGCTTAATCAGTTTAACACAAAGGTTTGTCAGAGGTAGACGACTTAGGTGACCATTAGTATCACTGCATGACCAGTGCTAATGACCATTAGTAGCACTGCAAGTCGTAAAGAATACACAGTGGTGACGAAAGCATATCTGTTGTGAAGGTAACGAAGGCAAGCAAAAACAGCAGCAAATGCATTGCGAATCATGACACACCTGACACTGCCCTTTTACAGCACCATTTTTAAAAGGCATTGCGATTGTAAGTTCGCAGTGGATGAGTAAACAGGCAGCCTTATATAACAGGTATTCTAGTTCAAAGTGATTCAAGTGCACATTAACGCAGTTAAAAAGCTACTGATGCCCTCCCTCCCAGAAAAATATACTATTGATTTTTGCACTCGCGAAAGGGTGAAGAAGGGGAGTAAAACCCCTACATGTATGTTGATGCGTATTTGAATTTTATATTTATATACTTCAAACTGTGATTATTTGTGCAGGGAATGCAGAAGGGTAGTTGACCGCCCCGACCTCTGTTCTAGCTATGCCACTGTAAAGAGATCAGGAGACGATAAGAAGATTCTGCAGTATGGGTTTAACCTCGACAGAACTTGCGTTCTTGCAGCTTCAGAGTAATTTACTGCTGCAAGCCAGACAACAAAAGCTAGTGAGATGACACGTACCACCTAGTTCCTTGATATTGAGCACAGTGTCGTTGACTGGCAGCGTCTTGATGTTGAAGCCCGTTGTAGGTTCAAGGGCATCCCAGGGCTCCCCCACAAGAGTGGCCAGGGCTGTAGACTTGCCTGCACCCGTGAGACCCAAGCAGAGCACTTCATATTGGTCGCGTAGTTCTCGGCCGGGAACACTACCACTGCACGTCAGCCACCTGGCAACACTGCAACGCACAAAAAAAGTCATTGTAGAGTAAGCATAACAGCCAGAATACCTTGTTCCGAAATGATTTGAACAATACAAAAAGTTACAAAGATTTTAAGAAACAAACTGATCAAGACTAAGTGAATGAAAAAAGTTTCCTAATGTCTGCTTTTAAGCGCGCAAGGTGCAGCACCGTCACAGCGAAAGCTAGAAGAGCGCCCTTTCAGAGCCTTTTCTAAACACATACTGGCTAACTGCTGCAAGCACACTCGCTTGATACCCACTACGACATCAATAATAAAAATATTTGTGTAGTAGGCTGGCGTTCGCTATGCTCGTTTTCGCCATTCTTCTGAGAAGAGTGGTATCCACTGAACACTTGCAAGGAACTTTGTGCGAATTGTTCATGCAATGGCTGACGATGATGAATTGTGCCTGAAGTGGATATGTGCCACAGTTATTAGGTGGACAAGAACAAGCTTTTGCAATTGGTTGGAGCATTGGACGACCCACTCGTTATGCTATTCGCATTGTACAATGACTGGTTGTTATTTCGCTGTTTTAAAACGCTTTATAAGTCTTATTAATGCAATTGCTTTGCAGACATCAAGCCTGCCTAAGACAATTTTGCCAATAAGTCCCAAGCACTGGCATGGGTCAGTGGTGGAATACTGGGCTGGCATCCAGCAGACCCGGGTTCAAGCCCCACTGTGTTATTAATACTATATATTTTTTTTTCTAATTTCGTGTGATGTGGTGTGGTTAGGGACACCAGCGGCGGCGGACGACTACGGCAGCGCGTGACCCAAGTTTTGATCTCATAACAGCTTTCACTGTAAAAAGAGAACCACTACTTGTTTGCCCCTTTTTATGTTCAAGAGCTACTATACTAGTTGACTCTTTTCAGATGATTTATTTGATGAATTCAGAGTGCTTATCAATGGTTACACAAGAATTAACTTGCAAGCAGTGCATACCATCACATACACAATTTATGCATCAAAACAATTAAGCTGTACCACATCAGATTCTGACCAGAGTCATTTGCAGCAAGTATGCTTTGTATTTTGCATTTTTAATGTCACTTGAGGCATCTGATTCACTCTGTGTTGCTTGCTGTGGTTCAACATTTTCCTATTAAAAAAATGACATAAGTACTACTCCTACATCTATAAGGACTATAGAATGACAAGGTTTCCAGGTGACCAACACAAGAGAACTCGCGTAGATATACAATGTTACTGGAAGCTTCAAGCATAGCTCAAGAATCACGGTGAGCGTTTTGTGAAATGAGCTTAACAAGGTGGATCGCCTGTAGGAAATGAACTAAAAGAAGAGAGTAGTACAAATGCTGGTCAGGGAAGCTTTTGCAAACATTTTTATGGTAACTTATTTGATTAAAACTACTCATGAACAATTGTGGCTTACTTTACTGATAAAGATCCACTTATTATAGTACAAGTTTGTCAGTTTACCCTAAACCAACTTTGTACACTGCAGTTCTTACAGCCGTTCGTGCACAGTACTCTGTGTATGTTTCACGAAACGTTTGGGATACAGTAAACTAAAAAAGGTAGGATATAAACTTTTTCTGTCATTTTTTTCTTCTTGGCACCTCTATACACGTGTTTGTTTACATCGATTATTGCTCAGCCATCTAGCTACGTTGAGCAAACTGACCAGGCAAGTTTTTCCTCCTTTTTTTGATACATTACTGTATGTGCTTAGCCATCAGTTTATTTTCTGTCATTGTTTTTTACAAGTAGAATACTATTGGATCAATCATGGTGCATACTTCTTTTCATCTACAATTTAGGGACTATGATTCCACTTGAAAATTCTATACTCATTTAGCTTGATCAACCAAATCAATTGGAAATTCCCACCCGTGGTTATGAGCCGTAATACGAATTGATGTTCTGCCAGCACTACTGTTCACGGCGCAATGCGTAAAAACCGAGTCAGTAGTTCAAAGAAACCTTACACGGACACATGCAAAAGAGGAATTTTACAAGCTTACAGGAGATACGGCTAATCTTGCACACATTCTGCTTACATTAAATGTTTCCAAACACCCGAGAATCGCAAAAGTGCAACAAGTATCCTTCCCGTTTTCATTCGCCACCACCCCTTATCAACTAAAAAAGAAGTTCGAATGGGTAGTGCGCCGTCGTTCGGCTTTAGCGTACGGATATAAACATGCCTTCAAAGGGGAAACCAACGCACGCTTCTCGCGGGCTTAGAAAAGCCGCGATCATTACACAGTGCGCAAAATCGGCCTGTTTCTACACTGAAGAAGCAAAATAAATTGCTGCCGCGTGATTTAGCACCGCCGACGTGGAAGTTCTATTACACCGGCAACATACAACCTTCGCACCGTGACTACTGAAAGGTCGACGGCCGCGACCTTTCATAAGATCAAACAGAAACTTGTCGCTAAATAAAATTGAAAGTTATCGACGTAGGTTTCACATATCACAGTTCACGTCACCCCGAAGGCAGCATCAAGTGGCCGCAAGTCTCCGCAAAGCAGGAAGAGCTCGAACACTTGTACGACAACACAACTGTGTTGATATCGTCTCTCCGAAGTAGCACACTGACCCTTCGGAAAGCGGTGCGACAGCCAGCAAAGCCAAGTTGCATGTTCTCGACGACTTTTGGCATTGTGGGGGGTTTTCCTCGAAGGCGCCCGACCAGCCCACCACGATCACTGGCGGCAAGTCTCTGCGGCACCTTCGAGGAAAGGCCTACGGACGTCGACCTGAAACAGCGCCTGCCTGAAAACCACACACGACGGCAGCTTACAGCGCCATTTTTCAATGAACTCTTCAGTCCTAGACAAACAATAAAAACGGTGGCCTTGCATTAAAGGTTTAGTGCTGCTAACTAGCGGACATTTGCTGCAACTCTTTTTTTTTCTTTAAAATAACCAAAGTTTTAAAGTACTAAAATTTATTAGTCACCAGCCTAACTATAGATCTTAGTTTATTGTTGACATTTTTTGTTTTTTTAAGCATAAAAGGGAATTGTGAGGGAACAACCACACTACACCGATGCCACCTCGATCTTGCAGTTCATTTCTCCATCGCTTTAGCACATTCTGGCGCGCTCGTGTCTGCGCTTGTCTGTGAGCTGTTTTGTGCCGCTGGCGTATCTTTTATTGAAAGCGCGCCAACTTAATTGGCTGAAAGACCTTTAAGTTACGACTGACGCCTATAGGAACAGTTAACTGTATTGTGATCTTGCTGTTCGCCCTATCTTACAATGGCAGCGTGGGGCGATGGTAGGTAAATCTCAAGTTTTGGTTGAGCCAGTGGACTTCATCGACTAACAATATCGCTACTAATGCAAAGCCCATTACATTCGCCTATCTCGCAGGTGGAGGCTTCATGCCACCGGACTCTCAACAGGACACGCCTCAGCGCAAGTTCGTGAGTGTCGATGCTGAATATTTCGCTGCTAAAATGTCGTTGCGTTGTACGCGTAAATCCCACTCAACGAGGTGTTGACAGAGGTCCTTCTAAAATCAGCGAACGTCAAAAAAAAAAAAAAAATATCTGCGGTGTAAATCTACACCAAGAACTTTTTTTTTCTTTTTTGCTAAAAAAAAAAAACAAGCCTGGCCCATACTTGTTTCATACTTGTTTCAAAACTTCAAAGAGAAACTACGATCATTTGCTCATTCAAAAAGGCAAGCGATAAAGATAGGCCACTTCGCGGTCGCACTTTTTAAGCGCTGTTGTTTATCGTACATTATTATTTTAACACGGCAGAAATATATGAACCGTGAACCATCCGCAAATATCGCTCACTACATCATCAAACACGTGACAAACACTGTATGTATTTGTACAAGAAATTTTATTATTCCTATGTGGTAGCTATATGTCACTTCCATTCCCCTTTATTATAACGGCTTTATGGTCGGTAAAGTGGTCGGTGCATCGGTGATTGGGTGGTCGGATGTTTGCAAGGACGAAGTAGTGGGCAGTTTGCAATGGTGGGACTATAGGTAGTCACGTACATACATACAAGGGATGGACAGACCCACGGCTTTAAAAGCTTCACCCCTAAAAGGACCATCAGTACACCCATAGGCACAAAGTTTATAAATCTCCAAAAAATGTTCCCGCCTCTACAGTTGTTGGCGCACATGCTGTGGTATCGATACACAAGCCATGTTGGCATGATTACTTGTGAAGCAGCGTGTGGCTTCACAGCTCGCACAACTTTCAACGTTAATGTCGGCACGACTCTGCTTCAGAAGGAAAGAGCCACAGTGAACTGCCACCATGTTGCATCATGTGTATTGCTTGCCTCTGAAACTAAATGTTGATGGAGATTTGATCATTAAAAGAAAGAAAAGGCCAGTTGTTCTTCAGGTGAACTGATGCCTTTTTTTTTTCACTGTTGGCACTTACAGGCAGGCCGCCACGACAATGTTGTTCCATGCACAATAGCTCAGATCCACATGATGGGTCAGGACTCTCTGACCGTAGGAGATCTTGAGGTGCAATATGTGAGTATTTCTAATTGTCATTTGCATTGTCATATGTTGAGTTCTTTGTGACTCTGTTCACTTGTGAGTGACGAAGTTATGTAAGAAGGCATGGCAGTGTAGATAAGGCTGCACCGCAGTGTCTTATGATGTCTATAATGTGTCCTCTCTGTCATTTTACATTGTCGCAAATGCAAAAGAAGGCTAGTAATAATGAGAGGTTGCACAGATATCCACCTAGAAGCTGCTGTGGCTTGTAGCTGAGTCTGCCATTATTCTTTTATTCAATTACCCTCCTCTTTTTTTACAGTGTTACAGAATATTCCGAATTATGAATTAAGTTTTTTTTATTCCTATATCTTTCACAGCTGCAACTTCCACAATTGAACAAAAGAAAGAACATTTTTTCAGGAGCTTGTTTCATTTTTGAACACAACCAAATGAATCCTATGCTTTTCGTGGCATAATTGTCTGTTTGGTTGTATAATTGAGTGATTTAAATACTAGGCATTCTATCATGCACCAGCAGAATTTATAAAAAGTGGAATGGCATTACATAAGGCAAACCTAGTCCACGTTGCTCTTTAGACTCATGTAGTAGCTAGTAAATTTTTTGTTAATGAGTTTTAATACACAATTCCCTTTGCAACTCTACGAGTGCTCATCTAATTGTCATAATGTTAGTGAGGCATATGCAGGCATTCTTAATGGCAGCTAATTGCACTATTTTCAACAATGTGCTTATTGCATGCCCATTTCTTTCAGTTGATAAAGAAAGCCCATGAAATATGAAAAGCCTACATATTTAGGAAGAAATTAGGGAGCATTTATGCCTAATAAATGCATCTGTCAATAAAATATTAGAATGTACCAGCTCAAGCTGGCATTCCCACTTTTTCTGTTGAGTTTTGTTCATGTGAAAATTTTTCGCATGTCTGCATTTAGCACCGTGCGCTAAGTGATTGCCATTTTGGCATGAGGTATAGCCGATTGTTTTTGTCTTTTCTCCGCAACAGGTATCGTTGGTGGGACTGGTGACAAGCGTTGACCAGCAGAGCACTCGTGTCAACTTCACCCTGGATGACAGGACAGGCCCACCGATCGAAGGACTGATCTTTGCCCAGGAAGAGGCAAGTCTTTGCTGCACATGTGCACACTTCCTTACAGGCAGGCAGTAGTTAAAGAGCATTTTTAGTTCATTAATTGATAGTTTTAGTAATCATTAATTGACAGGTTTGGTAATCATAAATTGATTGACTAATGCTCTAATGGTAGACTAATGTTCATTTCGATTTTGATTCACAGTGCTTTCTATGGGATAACTGTAAAAGTGATTCTTCCAATGCCATTTAACACGAAAGTGTTTTATGCCAAGATCCATCATAACTCTGCCGACGCTTTTTTGTCACGGATATGATGTAAAATACTAACTAACAGACTGCAAACAAAAAAAAAAAAAAACGAGAGGTTCTGTTATGGGGTGTTGAACCAGCGACCTGCTGTTTGCAATGTGTGGTGCTAATAACTAGGCCATGAAGTGTACGTTGTTAAACCTGCTAACGGTAAGCCATTTATACACCGTATACTGTTGGCGGTCCTCAGAGCTCTGCAACTTCAGCATGTTTTTGGCATGGGGAGCGAGATGGCGCAAAACTCGCGTTGAGTAGCGTTGGGTGCGCTCTAAAAGCCATCGGCTCTCGCGTTTTGGAGAGCGTTGTCTCCACGGAGCATGGTCTCTCCTGCGTGCGTGCTTATCAGGTTTATGATTCGGGAGAGCAACTGAGGTCACTTGGCTTGCTGCTGCGGCCGCATTTAGGAAAGGAGCACGCTGCTTACACCCGAACAGAAGTAAGAATTGTGACTGTTTGCGCTTGTTCTGTGTATACTTGTGTTTTGTAATCATTAATTGACAGGTTTGGTAATCATAAATTGATAGACTAATGCTCTAATGGTAGAGCTAATGTTCATTTCGATTTTGATTAACAGTGCTTTCTATGGGATAACTGTGAAAGTGATTCTTCCAATGCCATTTAACACAAAAGTGTTTTATGCCGAGATCCATCATGACTCTGCCGACGCATTTTTGTCACGGATATGATGTAAAATACAAACTAACAGACTGCAAACAAAAAAAAAGGAGAGGTTCTGTTATGGGGTGTCGAACCAGTGACCTGCTGTTTGCAATGTGTGGTGCTAATCACTAGGCCATGAAGTGTACGTTGTTAAACCTGCTAACGGTAAGCCATTTATACACCGTATACTGTTGGCAGTCCTCAGAGCTCTGCAACTTCAGCATGTTTTTGGCATGGGGAGCGAGATGGCGCAAAACTCGCGTTGGGCGCGCTCTAAAAGCCATCGGCTCTCGCATTTCGGTGAGCGCCGTCTCCACCGAGCATGGTCTCTCCTGCGTGCATGCTTATCAGGTTTATGATTCGGGAGAGCAACGAGGTCACTTGGCTTGCTGCTGCGGCCGCATTTAAGAAAGGAGCACGCTGCTTACACCCGAACAAAAGTAAGAATTGTGACTGTTTGCGCTTGTTCTGTGTATACTTGTGTGTTCGTTCTGTGCTAGTTTGTTTCTGGTTGAACAGTGCGCTTTCAGTGTCGAGCTGTGACAGTTTGTCTGCGCTCGTCCTGTGTACGCTAGTTTCGTGTGTCTTTTCTGCTTGAGGTGTGCACTGCAAGTTTCGAGCTGCTTTCCGTTCTTCATGTTACTTCGCAATTTGTTGCTGTAGCATTCATTCCTTCGCCCTTGTGGCGAAACAATGCACAATTAATGCTCAACTGCCTTTGTGAAGACACGCTTCACTTTTGTCTTATACTGATGATGATTAATATATGGAGTTTAATGCCCCAACACCACCATTCTTGTATTACTGATTCCTAGAAAGAGGGATCAGCCACGTTTTTTATTTCACATGCTGAAACTCTCCGACTCTAATGTTTCAGTCTTTCTAGTCTAATTTCATATCTGATGGCATTAGTAATTGAAGCCATCACCACTGCCATGTTTATTATCTCACTGCTTCAAACCAGTGCTCTCATGCATTGTTCTGTTTTCAGTCATAGCAGTTTTCAACAGTCAGCTTTGCTGCAACCCAAAGGTATTATTAGGCAGTGTATACCCAACACATTGCACTAAAATGTGTCAAGACTTGGAAGGAACCACTGTTATGGGACATGCATGCTCTATAATTATGTACACGCCCTCCTGCCTCTCTTGTCGGTAAAATATCATTATCACGTGCATGCTTTGAATCTACATTCGCTTTAAACTAAGTTGCAATGAATCCCTGATTCATTCCTCATATGCCCTAATGGATTCGTTACTCGTAGTGACTCATTCTATGCAGTGCCTACTGATGATCTCATTTTCATGCAGCTGCAGTGTGGCCAACAGCACAAAGTGCTGGAAGATATCTGCTAACATCAACCCGAGTACAATTACCCCAATGCATATAAACATTGGGGAAGCATAGAGCTACGGTGGCAGCCCCTGAGAAATGAGCCAGTATTACTTATTGCCTGTAACTCGATCACAATAAGCATCTTCAGCTCTGCCAAGTAGTGCTTGTTGCGCGACGCTGTTGTAGCATACTGCACATTTTCAATAGGTGAAAAACAAAGTCATGGTGTGGCGTTTCGAGTACCTAAGCGAAATACAAAGGTATGCCCTCTCTCTCTTTTCTCCGACCGCCCAACTTTTCAGACAACCGCACCAAGGCCACCATCATTTTGAAAGCTCTCCTCTCAGCTGGGTCTTCATGAATGCAGGAGCAGCAGCGTGTCCTGAGCCACCTTGTGGAGGGAAGCTACGTTCGTGTGGTGGGCCCTGTGCGTTCTGCTGAGGGAAAACGACAGCTCAAGGCCTTCAAGGTTTTCCCAGTGACCGATCTGAATGAGCTGACACTCCACCTTGCCGAAGTGGTGCATTCCAACATGGCTCTACGTGTGGTTAGTCTGGCACATCTCTGCATTGCCCTCATTGCCTTTTGTTTCCATTTGACAGTACACAACACAGTGAAGCCCAGATATATTCGAAAGACAGTCACCATTATTTTCAGTACATTGAAAGCTGCTCCCCTGCAGCTGTGCTTTTTCTAACCATAAGGCTTTTTCTAACTACTAATGTCTTTCTAACAAGTCATGCCAACAAAACAGCTTTCTTCCGGTTAAATTTTGTCAAGAATATGGGCATGTCTCGGATCATGAACGGCTCCTGCAGTAAAGATTTTATTTGCGCTCAATAATAATAGGTTTGCTTTGTTAAGCTTCAGTGCAATGCCGCCTGAAGCATGCTACCACAACGAGTACTCAATTTTCGTCGATTCAAAGTATGAAGATAAATGTGCACTTGAATGTAATGTTCACTAGATTTACTAACGAAAATAGCAGTATGTACTCACGTTATAAACAAAAGAGAAGTGCAATTTACTTCAACAAAATAAATTTTCCTGACATTTTCTTTTCTTCTCTATTTGAGCTTTTCTGATCCACAATTTGATGAGCCTCATTTGCCTGTTATCTTAAAAAGCTTAGCATACGCAGAGTAGCTTAACAAAATAAAATATTCATTAATAAAGTTTATGTTTCTCTCTAATATTTATTTTTTTAAAGGTGCACACTCAAAGCACACTTAACAATGAATGCATGCTCACTTCTCTGTCATGTCTGCAGGATTTGGTTGACAGCTATGAGAATCTTACAGGAAGGATATTTGGGAAGAATTATTCAGTGCCTGTTTACTACATAGTTGTGATCGGTGCATTCATTGCAGACTCGATATTTTGCAGTTGCTGTTACAAGCATTTAAAAATTCAATTGCTGTAGCCACAGGTTTTCCCTGAGAGAATTCCTCGCAGGAATTCTATACACTGTTAGGAATTCTGTTAAAGCGATTTCTGACAGTGTATACAGTCCATGTAACCTGTTTTACTTACTCTTAATTAATTTTTGCTTGTGCTCTTCTCCTACCAGGGCTTCACTCCCAGCTCAGTGAAGCATGAGCCAATGGACACAAGTGCCAACTCATTCCTTGGAGCTGGTGCTGGTAATTTGGGTTTGAACCAGCAGCAGAAACTGGTAGGTGGCATTTCTTTTTGCCTGCAATGAACCATTCTGTATATTAAGACGTATTGTGTATTTTTTTTACCCAATTCTTAGTCTACTTTGGTTAACTTTACCCCTAAAATAACCAATGATTCTAGCACACATTTTTTTTCTCCTCTGAAAAAATTTGTCTGGAAATTTCTTGAGCATTACAATTCAGTGTGATACCAAAACTGCATTCGCAACAGCCTGGTCAGAGCCAGTCTAATCAGTGTCATCGCCTTGCTCTTAGAAGATGACAACTATGAGCGACTAGTTTGCATAGCATAACGATGAAAACCCGCTTTCAGTTTAGTTACAAGTGCACTTTAAAAACAAGTTAATATTCTTGTTCGAGAGAATCGCACACATTGCATAATGGCCTAAGCCTAACAACTAGCAAAGTTGTTAGGCTTAGGCCATTATGCCATAGAGGTGGTTGAGTAGGGTAAATGCAGAACACAAAATGCTCTAACTCTTTGGGGCACAACATGTTTTGTATTCATGTTGGTAAAGGGATGCCAGAGAATGATGACTGACATTAACTCTTTCACTCTCATAGATGTACTGGTATGTTGTCTTTCTCCCTGCACTCCCACCTCCCTTCCTCGCAATGTTGTCTGTTATGTGTCCGAAAAATTTGCGCCATAGCTCAAATCTGGCTGACCGTCCGCGATTCTACTGGTTGCACCATCTATTGAATCTATTTAGAAGTATGTATTGTCACTCCTCACTGTGTTGGTAGATGTATGCAGTCACTCAGTCACTGACCGTTTATTCGGACTCGACGAGAACCGCCAAAAAGTCCGAATAATCGGGAGTCTGAAAAAACGGGTCCACTAAAAAAAAAAGGCACTTTTATAGGCCCTATCGCCCGAAAAAACTGTCATGTCTGCACACACACACGCTTCCGAGATGGTTTGCTTGGAAATAGAAAATTCTCAAGCCACTTGAGACTGAGGTCGGCCGCCTTCTACATGGCGAATTATCTCTGCTTTCTTCGTCATCGTGAGCGTCTTGTAGCTCCCACGTTGGCCGCGTTTCTTCACTCCCGACGGCGCAGCAACGGGTGGCATCGTAGCCATTTCAGCATGCCACGGAACACGCAAGAGAGCGAGAACACAGAGAACAAGACAAATCAGGCCTAGCCGCAGAATCAGCTGACTGACAGTGCTGACAAACGCCACTGCGAACAGACTGTGAAGGTGGCTTGGCTTGGCCGCTCGACTGGCAACTTATTTTTTTTTAAATAAGAAGCATCGCCACACATATCCTTCGAGATCGGCAATGGCGATTTCTGCGTGCATTTTGACACAGGCCCGACATCCATCCATAGTTAGTGCTGCATATCAGTGCTAGCAACATAGCAAACGTATTGTTAATGTCGCTGTCAGCGTGTAATGGCGTACTTCGACGCACCCGGTCAGTCAAACGGAGTCCGATAATCGAATGGCGCACAGTGGGGCGTCCGAATTTCAGGTCGTGAGTTTACATTAGGATCAATGGGGAGAGTGGTGGTGCCATGAAGATGTTTGAATAAACAGGCATGTCCGAATTTTCGGCGTCCGAACAAACGGTCGGCGACTGTATAGAAGTACAAAGCAACCGCAACCACCCTTGTATGTAATGAGGTATGACTGCTTCATGTGCACTACTTTCTTGCAAGCGCTACCATGCAGAGGGCACGCAATTGTGGGGAGAGGGTAGGTTTGCTGTGCCCCCCCCCCCCTTTTCTTTAATTTTTTTTTTCTTCGGTGGGCACGCTCGCTAAGAAGCGTCAAAATACGGGCAGTCGTCATTGTCTTTCCTATAGACTGAAAAATGTCTCAATATTTGCTTTTTCCCGCTTGCCATCACATGCTGCTCCTAACAGCAAACAAGGTTGTTGTATTCCAGTTCCATCCCTATTTGTCATACGACTCCACAGCTTGCCATTTCTTTGCGTTTCAAGCTTCGAATTTCAGTCTGGGAGGATAGAGTACCCTGGTCTTGTCTCTATTTTGCTTTCGCCGATATTACAGATATGCTATGTTCCTTTTGCTGAGGATTTGGGTGTGTTTTAATTAGAAGGAGTTCAGGCACTGCAATGGATGTTATTTTTCGTATGTTGGTCTTGTCAGTCGGGTCCTGCAACACTTTTTCAAGTACAGTGAAATCTTGATAGAATGAATCTCAAGAGACCGCTAAAAATAATTCGTTATTTATGCAAAAATCTTAAACGGAAACACGAGTCGCCTACCTGTGTTGTGTATATTCACGACTGTGTTATGCTGCTTGAATAAACGCGAAAAAACAAACACGAAATATTACAGAATCGGTGCACGTTTATTTGAGAAAAAGTGCAATCTATCCTGATATGGGCAACTCGACTCCTGAAAGACGGACTCTCAAGCATGTGCATCCTTCTTACGCGCTGTGAAGTATCAGCGTTAAATACTGATTCTTCATGTTGGTTCGCGCCCATGCTTTTTTAACATCGTCTTCGCTCTCACCGCCGTTTCTTTATCACGACAAATGCTATGGATCTTGATATGGATGTATGGAGCTAAGCTCACGTGCATGCTTCGTCGCCGCACTGTGTAGTGTTAGAGAGATACACAGATAATCATCGGCGACTTTATCATAGGTCACTCGCGTCGCATTTTGCATTTTTGATAGCATTCCGTTCGTGCTGCTTCCGGAGCTCATCATGAACGTTAAAACTGCGAACCAAAACGCTAGAAAACAGCAGTGAGACAAGCGGGCCGGTCAAGCTGTCTGATGAAAACAAAGGCAACGGAGTGAAGCCTGACGTGAAAGACAAGTACTAGGCAATGGTGATGGTGATAAGGCTATCCCACATTTGCTTTGAACAGGAGGGGGGAGGGGGCAGATAGAAACACGTGGGCACTCTGATGAAGATGATAGTGGCACTTAAGGAGCTGGCCATTATTTCTACAGCGGCGGGTAAATTTTTCAAATCGCTATTCCTTATTTTGAAGTGTCAGGGGATAAAAAGAAGATAAATTTTCATTTTTTATTCTGAAACATTGTTTACTGAAATTCGCAGTAGTGAAATATTTTTACATTAAACCAATGGACATTTGGAAGGGGATTTTTGAAAAATTTGTTAATCTGAAAAATTGTTATGCTGAGGCTCCCTAAAACGAGATTTGACTGTAATCACGGAGTGACTTCACTATCAACATTTCTTGCTTCACAAATCAATCGCCACACAAAAAAAAAAATGTTTTAAAACCATGAAGTGCGAGTGAATTTACAGAAACTTGTCGTTCGCTTTCAACACCACTTCTCCCTCGTGCCAGTTGGCGTGCTCATGGCTTACTTGGGAGGAGGGCAAGAGGTGACAAAGGAACTGGAATTTCACATCACCCTGCATACTTGTTATTTATTTTTTGTTTGGATGCATCAGCTCACTGTATGTGTTATTATGAGTGCACTAGTGCAGTTAAGGTGAGTTAATTAATTTAATGGGGTGTGTAATTTTGCCACACTATGGAGTGTGACACCGCAGTAACTATGCAGCACAGGAATGTGCAAATCAGTCAATGGCCGAGTCCTCCCCTCTGTAACACAATCGGCACCACATTGACACGAAATTGTAGAAAAAACGGTGAGCAATTTGTAGCCGTCTTTCAAACTTAACCGTAAAATCCCTGCTGCATGCTGTGCTGTAGTGTTTGCCTCAGATGTGTACAGGATAGGCATGTGAAAATAGTAAATTTTAGGTTCGAAACAAATAGTGGTTTAGACGGATCATTCTAACTTTAAAAATGATGAATTCGAGTAAGGGCAATACATATGTTCATTTAACCACAAAGAAGGGCGTTGCATCAATGCGGATTTCTCCTGGATAGGTGTATTCACGGTACAGTACTTTTCCACTGCAGTAAAACCACCTTTGCAGGGTTTACGCTTAACTTACACATGTTTATTCTGTGGGGAAGCCTTCGAACAGTGGGTCGTCCTCTCCAGCGCCTTCTAGTGGGTCGCCATTTTAGAAAAAAGAAGAGCAGCTTCGTGCTGAGAGTCGGTACCCGCATTGACTGTCACTGTCAAGCATCGTCGACAAATGTCCGCCAATAAACGTCTCAACAATTTGGTGGACAGTGCTGTGCCCTTCTAACACCTTCGGTTAGCATTCGATGCCTTTGGAGCTTCGATCCCGCACCGTGCCTTCTACCATGCATCAAGACGCCGCACAGCAAACGCTTCCCCCTGCACCGACGCCATGTTCCGGTGTCCCCCGCATCGACGACCCTCCTATCTTCACCGACGCGGATGGCACCGACGTCGAGGACTGGCTTGCTATGTACGAACGCGTCAGCGTTCCCAATCATTGGGACGAGGCAGGTAAACTCGGCAACCTGGTTTACTACCTCGCGGGTGTGGCCGGCATGTGGTACAACAACCACGCGTCCGATTTCCCCACTTGGTCCGCTTTTAAAACCGCCGTCGTCGACGTGTTCGGCCGTCCTGCTGTTCGTAAGCTGCAAGCCGAACAGCGGTTACGTGAACGAGCTTAGCAGACCGGTGAGTCCTTCACAAGTTACATTGAGGACATCCTTGACTTGTGCGAGAAAGTGGACGCGAGCATGTCAGAGGCTGACAGAATTACCCATGTTCTAAAAGGCATCGCTGACGATGCCTTAACCATGCTCCTGGCCAAGCACCCTCGCACTGTGGCAGAGATCATTACACTATGCCAGAGTTACGAGGAGCTGCGGCGGCAGCGCTCGATGACCCGTCGACCACCCTCACGTGACGCTGATCTCTCAGCCTTGTCAACACTTCCTGACCACACCACCTTGCTCGCTGAAATCAAGTAATTCGTGCGTGAGGAAGTTGCCCGCCAGGTCTCTTTACTGACTTTTGCTTCCCCGCAACGTGCTCAACAGCCGTCAAGCACACTTCTGCCTCCCCTCCGCCGAGCCATTCTGCAGGAAATCGCGGAGGTCGTTCCTGAATACCACCAGCCGCCTCCAGTATCTACACCACTCAGTCATGCCCAAGTTATCGCCAGGCCACCCCCACCGATTCCTGTGACTGGCCCCCTTGGTTACACCGAAACCATCGCCAGGCCCCAGGCTTTCGGATAAACTGTGCCGCCTACATATGCCGACGTCATCCACGTGCCCCGTGTGCCGCCCACTATGCAGTTATATCAGCAGCCGGCTCGCCCATCGCGTTCTGCGACATGGATGGGACACGCGAACCGATGGCGCACTGCTGATAATCGCCCCACCTGCTTTGCTTGTGGTTGCGTCGGTCACGTAGCACGCTATTGCATCGTGTGCAGCAACCGCAGGTCGCCTCCAATTTTCCCAGTCAATCGAGCCGCTTTTATGACCAACCGCCGCCTACGTCACCATCGTCCCGCCCCGCTCCATCTACCCGCCGTTCACATTCTCCGCGAACGTCGCTCACCGTCGTCGATGCGGCCACGTCCACTAGAGGGTGACCAGGAAAATTAGTCGTCGCAGTCCACGAGGCAAGGGCTGCGACGCTGTCGAACTGCGGAAGCCCTTAGGAAAGCCCATCGAACGTGATAGACGTGCTTGTGGATGGTGTTCGTGCATCTGCCCTTGTAGATACTGGAGCCGCCGTATCCGTCATGGACGCAAAACTTAGCCGATTACTGTGCAAAGTGACCACGCCACTTTCCGGGCTCTCCCTCCGTACAGCCAGCGCGCAAAGCATTCACCCTACAGCGATGTGTACAGCCCGCCTCATGATTCAGGACATGATGTATGCCGTTGAATTCATCATAATTCCTTCATGCTCTCATGCCGTCATCCTAGGATGGGATTTTCTCTCCCGCCACGACGCCGTCATTCATTGCACACCAGCAGAAATAGAGCTGACACAATTCCCTTCTTTGACGCCGGCCGACAGTCCATCTGCTGCAAACAAGTTACTCGTCAGGGACGACACGCAAGTGCCCGCAAACTCGTCCACGGCGGTGCCGGTCTACTGCGCAAGTCTTTCCGACACCGCTGCACTCCTCTCGCCATCTCATCGTGTTTTCACCAGAAAAGGCTTGCTGGTTCCTTTCGCGACCGTGCAAGTCACTCACGGCAGCACCACTATTTTTGTTCTGAACTCATCTCCGTACAGCGTTACGTTGGTGCGAGCGGAATGTGTCGGCAGCGTGGAACCCATCGAAGACGCACAAGTCATGGATCAACCTGATGACACGCACTGCCGATGTTCCAATACGCTTAGTGCTGTTTCTAATCTGTTTCATCATCTGCTGATGTATTCAGTCCTTCCATTGCCGACAACCTTACGCCGGTCCAGCGCTCCAAGCTTCTGGCCCTGTTGGAAGGATTCCGCTCTTCTTTCGATGTCGCTCAACCTTCTCTCGGCCGCACATCCACTGTCACGCATCGCATCGCACAACCACCACTACGGCAACGTCCATATCGCGTATCTCCCACAGAACGCCGTGTAATCAACAAGCAAGTGGACGACATGCTTTGCCGCGATGTTATTCGACCCTCTAACAGCCCCTGGGTGTCTCCTGTCGTTCTCGTCAGCGAAGAAGGACGGTTCTGTGCGGTTCTGTGTGGACTACCCACGCCTCAACAAGATCACTCGTAAGGACGTATACCCACTACCGCGTGTAGATGACGCGATTGACAGCCTGCAAGGAGCCGAATTTTTTTCATCTCTCGATTTGCGCTCAGGGTACTGGCAAGTACCTATGGCTGAGGACGCTCGACCGAAGACCGCTTTTGTCACTCCCGACGGCTTGTACGAATTCAACGTCATGCCGTTTGGGCTGTGCAATGCGCCCGCCACCTTTGAGCGCATGATGGATACCGTTCTGCGTGACTTGAAATGGCACACGTGCCTGTGCTACCTCGATGACGTCATCGTTTTCGCTCCGGACTTCTCCACGCATCTCCAACGCTTGCGGCATGTTTTAACGCGTCTGAGTGACGCCAGTCTGCAACTGAACCTAAAGAAGTGCCAATTTGCAGATCGGCAGTTGACAATACTTGGCTACGTCGTGTCCAAGGATGGAATTCTTCCCGATCTAGCCAAGCTTCGGGCCGTGACCGAGTTCCCCAAGCCAACATCCATCAAGGAACTGCGCAGTTTCGTAGGACTGTGTTCCTACTTTCGGTGCTTCATCCGAAACTTCGCGTCTATCGTATCGCCGCTGACGAAGCTCCTCGGAAGTAACGGGCCTCTCCATTCGTGGTCATCACAGTGTGACGACGCATTCAGAACGCTCCGTCGTTTGTTGACGTCGCCTCCAATACTCCGCCACTACGACCCTACGGCCCCTACTGAGGTACACACTACGCCAGTGGTGTCGGTCTCGGCGCTGTCCTTGCGCAGCGCAAACCAGGTTCCCGGAATATGTCGTGGCGTATGCAAGCCGTTCGCTTACAAAAGCTGAGACTAATTACACCGTCACAGAGAAAGAATGTCTGGCAATCGTCTGGGCCCTTACCAAGTTCCGACCTTATTTGTATGGTCGCCCATTTGATGTAGTCACCGACCATCACGCACTATGCTGGTTGTCGTCATTGAAAGATCCCTCAGGCCGTCTCGCCCGGTGGGCACTTCGCCTGCAAGACTACGACGTCCGCATGCTGTACCGCAACGGAAGGCAACATGCTGACGCCGACGCCCTGTCGCGCTCTCCCTTGCCTGACGACAAAGCCCACGACTAAGCGTCTCACCTTGCCATTTCTTCCATTAGCATTCATGCCGTTGCTACTGAACAGCGCAAGGATCAATCAATGGATTGCCTCACTGATAGACTTGCTGACTGATCCATCCACTCGCGCGTTGCCGTCGTCAAGCCCACCATTTCGCCGTTCGCGACGACCTCCTCCACCAACGCAATTACAACAATGACGGCCGCCAGTGGCTACTAGTCATACCCCGCAGTCTGCGCTCTGACATATGCGAATTCTTTCATTCTGATCCGCAATGTGCGCACTCCGGGGTATCGAAAAACTTGCCACCGCATTCGCCAACGGTACTTTTGGTGCGGCATGTACCGCTACGTGCAGGAATTCGTTCGCTCCTGCATAGAATGTCAGCGCCGCAAAACTTTCAACGCACCTGTCGCCGGTAGGTCTGCAACCTCTACCTTGCCCTGCCAGGCCGTTTGGGCGCCTTGGCATCAATTTGTATGGGCCACTTCCACTAACATCAGCTGGTAACCGCTGGGCCATTGTTGCTGTGGACCACCTCACGCGATACGCCGAAACTGCCGCTCTTCCCGCGGTTACAGCGAGCGATGTGGCCTCCTTCCTGCTCCAACGATTCGTCCTGCGACACGGTCCACCTCATTGATTTGTAGGGTTTAACGTCCCAAAACCACCATATGATTATGAGAGACGCCGTAGTGGAGGGCTCCGGAAATTTCGACCACCTGGGGTTCTTTAACGTGCACCCAAATCTGAGCACACGGGCCTACAACATTTCCGCCTCCATCGGAAATGCAGCCGCCGCAGCCGGGAATCGAACCCGCGACCTGCGGGTCAGCAGCCGAGTACCTTAGCCACTAGACCACCACGGCGGGGCCACGGTCCACCTCAGGAACTGCTCAGTGATCGAGGCCGCGTCTTCTTGTCTGAAGTTGTCGAAGCCATTCTCAAAGAGTGCAACGTTGTTCACCGCAAAACTGCTGCTTACCACCCGCAGACGAATGGCCTCACTGAACGCTTCAACCGTACGCTCGGCGACATGCTCTCCAAGTACGTCGCCACCGATCACACAAATTGGGATGCCATTCTACTCTTCGTCACCTACGCATATAACACCGCCCCTCAGAGCACTACTGGCTTTTCACCTTTCTTTTTATTATATGGAAGGCACCCGTCGCACACCATCGACACTATACTTCCGTACAAGCCAGATCCGTCCGAGTGGGCGCCTATTTCTGCTACAGCCAAGCTTGCTGAAGAGTGTCGAGAGCTTGCAAGGACCTTTACAGCGCATGATCAAGAGCGGCAAAAAGGCATTCGCGCTGACACCAGCGCTACTGCGCCCACTTTCCTCCCTGGAGCGCTCGTCTGGCTCACGATCCCTACCACATCAACTGGCCTATCTTCAAAACTATTGTCCAAATACGAAGGCCCCTACCGTGTCGTCAAACGCACTTCCCCTGTAAATTACTTGATCGAACCAATCGAACCATCTTCGGACATGCGCCGTCGATGGCGCGACATTGTCAACGTGGAGCGCCTCAAAGCCTACCACGACCCGCTCATAGTAACCAGCTGTTAGGTCACCAGGCGGCTCCCTCTTCGTACCCGGGGTAGTTGTGGCGAAGCCTTCGAACAGTGGGTCGTCCTCTCCAGCGCCTTCTAGTGGGTCGCCATTTTAGCAAAAAGAAGAGCAGCTCGTGCAGAGAGTCGGTACCCGCATTGACTGTCGCTGTCAAGCATCGTCGACAAGTGTCCGCCAATAAATGTCTCAACAATTCGTTCATTTTGAAGACTTCAAAGTTTAGAGCACATACATAGTTTAAATTTGTGTTGAAGTGAATTCGAATACTCTAGTGTTCGTTCAAGTATTTGTTCAAGACATTCGCACTTGCCTATGATAGGAATCTCGGCAACCAATCAGCGCCATTTTTCGACCTTATTAAAAAAAAGTGTTGCAGGCCTTTAAATGTTTTTGTGTCTTCAGTGTAGTAATGTGTCAGCATTTTGTTTTATGTTGCTGTTATTTTTGCCTCTTGCTTTACAGGTTTGCCTGAAATTTGAACAGTTTTGTCAGTCATTTCAGGGTTAGACTAAAGAAATTTGGCTGTATGTTAAATAAGTTTTAGGGATAACGGAATGTGGCCACGTTGCACACGGAATTGCCCCATCTTTCAGGTGTACGAAGCTATCCGGGAGTGCACAACCAACATTGGGATAGGCTTCGATGAAATTTGCTCCAGACTGAAGTCTATGAACAAGAATACAATAAGGTAGTTTCAACACTTTTTTATGCATCCTGTTTTTAAATATGTATACTGTGTGGTGAACTAAGACTACATTGTGGTATTTTGGCCTTGAGAGTATAGCAGCAGTTTGCTATACTCTCAAGGCCAAAGGTGTTTTGGCCTTGAGAGTGCCTTGAGAGTATAGCAGCAGTTCTCACTTACTTCATAGTTGCGATTTTTCACATTCTCTGTTGCCCCGTCTTCCAAATAGCAGTTTCATTTGATGGCTAGATGCCGCCCTACAAAAAGTTTGCTTTGGCCGTTTATCTAGTCTCCAAACAAGAATTGTACGCCTTGGTCTTAATTTTCCTTTCATAAAAAACTGCCCTTTCTACTTTCCCATAAAAAATGCCATGTTTTATCGATAAGCTGTCATGCTATTTATGATCTGGAAGTGCCAAGCACGCAACGAAACAAAAATAATTAGTGTGCAATAGGCAGAATGCAAGGACAAGCAGAAGTTATTGTTTGGGGACTTGCAAAAGTCTCAAAGGATGCAAGCTTTGTTTGGAACATCAGACAAGTGCTAAGCTGGCTACTTGTGTTCCGAGAATTGCTTATCAAAAGTTTGCACGATTGGATACTTCCATAGCTTTATATACAATGAAGCTTAAGTATTTTAATGTCTAAACAAATATGAGGACCATCATACATGTAGCAAGCAACTGGGCTAGATGAGAAATATGCATTGTTGGCAGTGGAAACCAAAATAAGATTTGAAAGGAGAGTTGTGCTCTACATGAGATCAGATACTTGCACGCAGAAAATTTGGGGCAGTGACAATTAACATCTTCTAGTTTTGGTTATATTGATTAATGACCTTGAAATAAAGGGGTACTGGCACCATTTTGCGAAGGTGAGCCTGCTCTGCCATACAAAGAAGGCTCCGAGCAAGTGTGAAGTTCAGAAAATTCCAATAAAAGATGTTATTTTCATAGTACTAAATTTTCTCATGGTGCACCTACCAACATTGACACACCCTTGATCTCAGGCTACAGTACTAATTCTGGTGACTTGACGCACCGGTCTGGCTAGCTGTGAGGACGTGGGGTACCAAAACGCTTAAAATGTACAACTGTGCATCACCAACGCAGCACTACGATAGGGAGAGGCCGTGCAAATGTCATGATATCTTGCAAAAGCACGTGACAAGAAGCTCATACAAGCCACGTCAGGGCACAGTAGGAACCGAGACCAATGTTTAAAAATATACTGTAATTATCTTTTAAAGGATGCATTCGCACTTAGCAGTTCGAATTTTAGGCTTTTGAGGGCTTTGTCTTTCATAGGACACGAAAAACGAACTGAAAATATTTACGTTAGTGCCCCTCCAAGCACAAGTAATGGCAGGCCAAGATGAAGCTTATGTCTTTATGAAACTTCTTTTTTTCAGGGACGTAGTGGAGTTTCTTGCCAACGAAGGACACATTTTCACAACCATGGACGACGAGCATTACAAAGCCACAGACTCGGCGTAGCCCTGCATTCCACAACCTGTATTTCGTTAATGTATACAATGTTCATTATCTACTACCCACCATTTAAGAAAATGTAATAGATTGTGTTCTTGTAAAAGCTAAGGCCATTCGTCCTGTCTTCTCGTAACATTCACAGTCAGGTGGCATTGCGTTGCTTTTCCCTGCTGGCAGTTTAAGCAGAAGGAACATAAATGTGAAAAGCCCCGTTGGTGAAAGCAGTGCACTGCAATGTACGCTGCTGCAACATTATGAAAATCAGCAGACCCTACTTCATTTTCCCCATGTGATTTGTCATCTGTTAGATGGCAGCCTCTGAATATTCCCAAATATTCTTTTTGAATACTTAAGACACAAATCTTTCCTTTTATATAAATCGTCATTGAACTGTGCTGAAGGTATTGAGCCTTAATAAAACCGCAGCTTTACACGCCTTTGTCAGGGGTCCTTATTTGTCACCTCTCAAACATTTAAGGGGTGTTTACGGTGGAAAGCTTTACCTTGGGTAAACAAGCATGACTTAGTCGCTGACAAAGTGGAGCATTTAGATTGGAGCTGTGATCTCGCTCGCTGCACCTGTGTACATGTCCAAAATGCGCAGTACTACCGTGGCCACACAGGAAGGCCAGGAACATTGCTAACATGCACAATGTCACAGCCACGTTGGCAACATTCAACGAAAGTCACTACATGCCTTCTCATCTCTCGTGATGCAGTGTTCTGAATGGCTTGCTACAAGTAATGCCTTTTTTTTTTCCCTGGCGATGAAAATCAGTCTGACCAATCAGCGCAATGGTCTTTTTTTCTATTGCAAAATGTCGCTTACCTGAAATCATTCAATGCGAATGGAGTTTTACGTTTTACTGCTAATATACAAGCCCGCTTATACGAGTTGGCACTAAAACTGAACAACACGGGCCGGTAAATAAGCGGCCAACATTTCAACTTTATTTTCACTGTGTAGTACTGATAAACATATGTAGTATGTACAGGTTTTGCTAGTATCAACATTAAAGGTAGATATTACAGATTCTTTTTTTTTTCCCGTGGTGTGCCAATAGTGCTCGTTGATAATGCATAATTCATTGATTTAATGTTGCAGAACCATACATGAGCAACTAAGAAGTTTTATTACAATTGTTTTTTGTAAAATTAGAGTATCAAATCTGTATGTCATTGCACATGCAACTTGAAGAAGCAATAAAGAGACATAATGCAAACCCAACTGCTTTAGTTGCAGTTATACAACACATATAACCCTTCTTATTTTATTCGAGTGAGGAAACAAACCGATAAAAATAAAACTGACCAGGTGATTCCATTTCAGCACAGAATGCAGTTGCTGTAACACGCAAAAAGCATTTTTGAGATAGCAGTTCTTGCTTCAATTTAAGAACATTTTAGGCTATGTCATCCATGTCTGCCTCGTCTTCAACAATACAAGTTGTCCCCGACGTCTCCAAACGCTCACGGAGTCTGGAGATTACATCTTGAGATTGGGTGTCTGATCCCATAGCTAGATTCATCATGTGTTGCTCTTCAGACTGGCTGAAAATGTATCCATTACATTTGTCACAGGCCTTCAGAACACTCCACATAGATTCTTTCTCCTGGAATATAAAAAAAATGGGAACACAGCAAGATTAGTCTAGTTTTAATTTCAACCCTTTTCTGTTCACATGCACCACCTCAGCATTGCAAATTGGGACAGCCTTTAGTCTTGTAGCATAAACTTTTAGGCATGAACTATATTACAATCTCATGTGTGGCCAGGCCAGGGTACAAACAATACCTAATGCAACTCGCACGTTTTACCTATACTCGGTATTTTGGTGACTGCAATTATTTCATTTTCTGGACTACATATTCTTAAAATTTCATGTCTAAAAATTGAGAGTTCATATTTAAGGGGGCAGACTGGTCTTTGGGACCAAAAAGTGAAAAAAAAATTCATTTTAAAAAATTGACATATTTGGTTTCTGCAAATTTTCACACACCAGGAAGTTGTAACTTTTTTGTAATGTCATTCTAACTATCCAGATTCTTGGTGCTGTTAACATGCAGAACCTGCGAAAAAATAGGGAACCAACTTCGAAGCTTCTTAATAATTTGCCGGCACCTGTGTTGGAAGCTCTGCTAACAATTTATGAGCACCTTTATGAGGATTGCAAAACCTGCACACCATGATTGCGTCTTTTTGAAGAAGCTGTGTGTTTTCAGTTTTTTTTTTTTTCATTTTTCTCAACAAAGTAAATTCACGACTGTTCAATTTCGAGGCCTCAATATCTCTGCAGCTAGGGCAGGTACAACAGTAATTCTTTTTGCAATGGAAACCTGTATGTGTTTAGAATGCAAGTATGAGAGCAGAATTGAGAGCACAAGCATTTTTAATTACTCATCAAAATTGTAACACAATTTCAACTGCTTTTGAAAATGGATAGTTCATTTTGCTGTAAGATAACCAAGAAAGGCCTAAAAACAAAAAACTCTCTTGCATACTTTCAATCTATAGTCATTAGTCTATGTTGCATATCTTAAATATCACTTTTAATTAAGCACTTTTTTATATGGTGCCCTTAAACAATAGGGGGTGAACTTAAGTTATCTCAGGAACAAGATGAGTTACTGGAAAACTAATTAAACATTTGAAATCAGCTAAAAAAACTGCGTAAGCCTGTGCAGTTTGATCAAGATCACTGAATAAATAAATAAAAAAATGTCTAAGACCAGTCTGCCCCTTAAAGATTGATGGCCTGGCAATATAGGCCTTAAAAACTTTTTATTTATTTACTTGTTTTCCAGTCAATGATTTGAAGAAGCTAAACCCCTAAATTGTGCCCGCAATGATCTCCAATGCACAAGCATTAACTTCACAGATGGCTTTCAAGAGACATTACAGATAAAACATCTTGCTAAGCTAGCAAACATGCTGTGCACAAGAATACCAGAGCTGTGTATTTTCAAAAAACAGACATTAGAGCTAGTTGCTTTGTTACATTCAATAAAGCCATAGCACAAAAAACACTGGGACTAAGGAAGAGCACAGGACATGCGATTTAATAAGCTATGTGTTAACCCATGCGTGCGTATATGGCACAAATGCTTTCTTTTGCCTGTCTTAATTGTGGCTGCAAGAGCCTGCAGATTTTCCGTTAGCTTTTTCAATGCTTTTTCGTCACTGACAGGAGCATAAAAGTGGGCTAGCTTGCGTGCGCCAGCAGTACGCATTAAAGTGGCGCTGCCTTCGCGTGACGTAATCATCCCATGCTCGTCAGCACGCATTAAGCAACTTTACTGCATGCTCATGAAATTGTGCACGCAGTTTCTGGGTCGCTAAGATTTTGGAGTGACGTGGTTTTTATATTTACAATTTGTCTCAGAAATGATGTGTATTGCTACTCAGCACAACCGCACATGTGTGCAGTGATGTTTTCGGTGACTCGGCTTTTCTTGTGCGTCGAGAGAGTAATGAGGACGCGACAAGCCATCCACGGCACAGGCAGAAAAACCTTGGGCGCAGGCGCACGCAACGCGGTACAATTACAGAGAAGCTGTATAAAGACACATCGTCTCATTGTAACAGTTAGTTATTTTCAAAATTAGTTGTAAAGCTCAGAATAAACATGGTTAAACATAGTTACAGGAACTCCTACGAAAGCGGAACGACAGCATGCACAAGTCGCTGCTACGGGCATCGCTCTCAATTCACAGCGTTAATGCATAAAAGGGCTCATCCATGTTCAGAGCCTTGATGATCGAAAAATATTGCTTGTAAAATGAGTGCATACTTTTGGGCAGCTATGAACACTGCACAAAGGGCAATTTATCTGTCGTGCCGGAGAAAACTGGGTCTAAAAAAATCAGTTGTCGGTCCCTTTAATGTGCACTCTCACCATTTCCTGCTTCTTGATGCTTGAAAGTAAACAGAAACAATAATTTTATACGACAAATGCTTAGTTTCGGACAGTGTACATATACAGACGCACTTGTGCAAAGTTTTACGTCTGAAACAAAAGTGAAATGCTGTGTAGCCATTCCAGGTGATTTCTCTGAAGTAGGCCTTCAAAAAGGTCCTCACCACACTGATGTATTTCATAGCTGAATGCGCTGCCAAGCATAGCATCCTATTTCCGTTCGTATGCAGTCTCTTCTAGTACGTATTTGTTAAAAACTCGGCAGCAAATCCGGAAATCGCACCATCTAGCCCCCACAGTGGCCTTGCTAGCGCTTGTATATGCACATGGCTTCTACACTGAAAATGAGAGCTCTACCGCACAGTCTTTCAGGCCGTAAAATTAAAAAGAACCGAGATTTACACAGAAGCACAGTTATATGTCAGACCTGAACATTCAGTGGCATAAAGGAGACGAGGCTGTAATCCTCAATAATTCCGGCCAGTGCTTCATTCATTTTCTTGTACTTCTTGAGAATAGGGTCTTCCTGCAAAGGAATGCCGATTTTGGCAGAAAAAAAGCGATGAGAAGAGGGCGAGCGACCATTTCCAAGTCCACCATGAGTGCTAGCACGATCAAATGCAGTTCACCATGGAGGCAAATTTTTTTCCTAGCCTTCACACTCTAAAGCACCTTTATCACGTTATGTTACAAGGGAGGTCATCATTATTCGAAAAGAGATTTGTATGCTTTGATGAGCAACAGAATACATTCAGCTCCCTTTCTTGTCAAAGTTTCAGCAACTGATTTCACTGTGATCTGTCATCTGCTTGTAAGGAATTTCAGGATCTGTGCAAGCTTGACGTAGGCATCAGCAATCTACTTACAGAGAGAACATCGGCCAGGAAAGACAGATCCATCACATCGGTGTAGTAGTCTAAACCAAAATGAAGCTTTCCATACTGCTCTGCCAAGTCCACCTTTGAGAGCACATTGATGTGAGGTAGTTCCACTGCATCATGTACAACATCTCAGTTACATTATTCAATTCAACAAACCAACAGCAAAACAAGCAAACAGAAATCCTGTGTTTTGTAATTTCAAGTACGGAGAACTTAAGAGGCCCGGCTTGTCGTCCATCCATGCATGTTGTAAGGCTTGAATCACGTTTGCAGTGAAGTGCTTACCATAGCTACAAATGCTCAAAATCTGCTTAATATGAATGAACCAGGTCTAAAATAATAGAGTAGAAATAACCAAGAAGTAATTAAAATAATTAACAAAAAACTGCTAAAACATTTCGGGACCCTGCAGCTGACTTCAGAGCTGTGCAAGAGGGGATGCCACTGCTTTCTCAAGCGAGTGAATTGCCCCTCTCCTATGCTTCGCTGGTGCTGCATCACTATATCTGGTGGGGGAAACAACCTGACGGAACTCACTGCAAATGACTCATATCTCAACTGCTGTACCAAGCAGAAAGTCAATACAATAAAGCGCAGCAAAAACTAGTGAGTGTTACACGCACAAGTTTGCGAATCTTGCTAACAAGATTCTACTTGTTCCAGAGTAACCCCACATGCTTACCTCACACATTGCAGTCATTGATAAACGGAGCAGTAGGGAATCGCTGCGTGCTTATGGTACACAATTCCTCAGGTTTCACAGTAATGGAGATGCCATACGTTTTTTTAACAGCCAAGCTGTTTAAGCTGCCATAATATGTATGCAATATCACAATTCATGAGCACGTATGTGCCACAGAAATTGGATGAGTCCCACTACAAAGAAAGAAGAAAACAGTTGGTCCAACACCTATATTACCTAATGAATTCAACCCTTTTTTTTTTTCAAGGTGTACATTCATTTAAAAAGCAAGGCACCGTCCCATTCATGGCCCATCCCCCTAGGTGGGTTGTGCCAAGTTGTTGAGGAACCAACCAACCAACCAGGGAAAGACAATCACGGCTGTTGGAAGACCCTGAAGCTATGAAAGGCCTATGCCAACAATGAGCTCATAGATTTACAAAAGGTATGAATGCTTGGTTTCAGTAAGTGTATGTTTCTGCTTGAACATCCGTGTCGTGCCTGTGATCGTATGAGAGATGCAAATGCTTGTTTTCAGTGAGAGTTTGTTTCTGGAGTTTGGACATACGTGTCGTGTCCGTGTGTGGTTTGACTTGAACCTCTCTGCACTGAGAATCAACATAGAAAGCAACCTAGAAACCCGAGGGAGCGCGTAGCACGGGAAATTCGGCGACTGCCTCGGTAATCGTGCGCTTGCCAAGGCGGTGGTGCCCTCTCTTGTGCGGCTCACGTATCAGCCAGATGCTTCGAAACGTTTTCCGCGATTTTAGGTTAATTGTTGCGAGTAATTTTTTGTTATTTCCGCAGTTTACATAATTAGACCATGTTTGCTTATTCTGCAATAGTTTAGAACATTTCCAGCTATGCTTAGGCCGGCATTGAACACTGCGTGACCATGCGAAATGAGACCGAATGGCCGACAAATCGGGCTCCCAAAGTGCTACGCACTGAACAAAAGCCCCAAGGATAATCAGCTATGTGAATGTTCACGAACTGAGCTACAAATTATGAAGGGCAGGCTCTCACTGTGCATCATGGTTGCCAAGGAAGTCAGCAATACCGAGATGAACTTCCCAGGATCGCTACAGTAGTGCGAGTCGACAAGGTGGGTGGCCGAAAGCCGGTAGCCCAGCTTTTGAAGTTGAGACACAACATTCCGCACGCTCGCGTGGTGCGTGTAGAGTTCCACCTGCATGTCATCACTGCGCGTTTAGCAACAGGTCTGCGCTCCGGTTCGCTTCATTTCGGAAGCGCACGTTGCGTACCTGACCAGGACAGTCGATAAAGAGGTAACAGCCGCGAACTTTCTCCAGCTGCTGACACAGCCAATCGAAGTTCTTCTCCAGATACTCCATGCAGTAGACGAGGGCACCGTTGGGCCCAAGCGCGTACAAGTCCATCGCGTCGCTAAGTTCGACGAGTCCTTTAATGTCAACATCTGCCTCGTATGGAAGCACATCGTTCGCCGGATCCAAGTTCACCACAGCTACCGAGCGTCCGATTGCCGTGCAAAGCTCGCGCATGGCTTTACAGTAAGTGCTTTTACCCGATCCGGGCGGTCCAATCACCACTTGACCGAACGTCCTTTCGCTGCGCGCACTTTTAGATGTCTGCGCGTTCATGTTGAAATAGATGAACCTAAACAAGTGCACCACAGAAACGCACTCTAGTAGGCTGGCTAAGGAAAAACTATCGACAATCAGGAAGCGTCTTTACGAAAGCTGCCGAAAACAAGCGTTTGAAAGACGCCGTTACACGGCCTGAAACGCCACTAGTTCCTCTAGCGCCTTTTTTGATTACTATTCATAAGCAAAAAACCATAAATAGGACTCAAGAGACACGAAGGCCATGACGTATTTTCATTCGCAACTTTTTCGCTTGCAGAGCACAAAAGCATAGCCTTTGAGACTTGCAATTAAAATAAAAAATTACTAATGAGACATTTAGTACCACTTTTATTGCTCAAAAGTGAGCTTATTTAACTTCGTGTTGAAAGAAATTATGACTAACGTATAAGTAAAACGGCCGCAGGATATTTTAAGATTAAATTATTTGAGTTAGTTTCGGTTTCTTGAGGGTTGTGGCGCGGCCATCGCCTAGTTTTTTTCTGCGTCTGTAGCATAGCAACAAGTGCACTTCGGACGCACTGCAAGGCGATGACTGTGTCTATGTTCACCAAAACGGTCCGGTGAGTATTCACGTTCTTCTACCTGTTCGACGGTGACGAGTGCATTCCTCACTGTTGCCGCTGCAAAATGGTACGGGAAGGGTGCTCGCAGGCGAGAGCTCTGAGTCACAATCTTTTTTTCTTCTTGAACAGAGCTCTCGATAACCTTGCTGCCAAGGTTCCTCCCACGCTACCACCCCGCCGTTTCGATATGTACGATTTCGTTTTTTTCTACGGTGTCACTCCCCTCGGCCGAGTCTGTGGCCAGTGATTCGCATTTGCAAACTAGATCTCCAACGGCTGGACGGAGGCCCCGCTGGCTGACCGGTGTTCCCAGCTGATGCGGCAATCAATATCGCCGGGCGGCGTGCATGGCCTAGAAACCTTGACACACATTTGTGGCCTAGCTTTGAATGGCGCGATATATTGGGCTGCCCAGCGAAGGTTTGCACTTCGTCGTAGTTGGGTTTCGTCTCCGCTTCCATTTCGTTCGAGTCTGAAAATCGACTGGCTCGATCGTGTGCCGCGGAGCGAAAGTCTGTGACTTCGGAAGATATGCACTCTGTGGCGTGGCCTCGGGACCGTTCGGAGTCCGTGCCGCGCTGTGTCCGCTTTTTCTCGTGAAGTTGCTAATAAACGCGTGTGCGAGTATCGTGTCTGTCTGGTTAACTGTGATATGCTGAACGCTTTGCGATCGCTTTTTAACTTAGAAAGGAGAGTGTGGGTTGTGCACTTTGTGCCGATTGGGCAGCCTTGCGGCGACCCCGGAAGTGGCATCGCCCAGCAAATATTCACGATAGCTGCCTCCACTGGCTCCGAGATTCGCTAAAGGAACAGTTTCCTAAGTTGCCCCGTACTCTCGGCTGCTGCGAATTGCTCTGTATTCTCGAAATTGCAGCAAGTGAAGCGCACAGACTTTACCTCACCTGAGCAATAAGTAGTAGTAAAAAGATATATAAAACAAAAGTGGCAGCCTATTCGCAGGATTCGAGCCTACAATCTTTTTACGGGGATTGCACAAGCTTTATTTGATGGCGAGTGGAGGAGACTGTTGTGTTTTGTTTGGGTGCGTTGTAAAACACGCTTCTCGTTTTCGGAAGTAAAATATTACTCCTCAGATGGAGTGCATTATGCATATTTCCTGGGTATTAAGACGCGGCACAAATATTTCATGTGGGCTTGAACCATGTGAGCACACTCGTTTAACACAAAAGTGTGCGTAAGCACTTGTAATGAAATCTGTTTAAAAGTTGCATGGGTATTGAGTAAACAGCTGCTCACCTCAGTTTATAAAGCTGCATATTGATTAAGTGCAGTGAATCTCCCTAGAAACAGGGAGCATCAGCTTTGAAGTTGTACAAGTAATAGGGCCTAGTATGACACTTTCACTTTATTTAGTGTAAACTTGTAGTATGTTAATAGTGATCTACTTGTTACAAACATGTGGTACAATTAGCAGGGATGTTGTTGCAGTTGTTGCATAGTGCAGTTGTTGCATCGACCTTAAATGTGTACATGCATGTTTGTCTTGCTTTTGAATCATTATATTTGCTTAGTGGGTTAATTTGTGTGGTTTAATGACCAAAATGACCTGTGCTATGAGAGATGCTGTAGTGGTAGGCTCTGGATGGTTTGGACTGCCTGTGGCTCTTTAATATGCGCTGAAATCTTACAGTAAACGGGCTCCTAGCATTTCATCTCCATTTAAATGTGGCTGGAATCAAAGGTATGTTTTCAGGGTGAGCTACTGAGCTCTGTATGCGCTTGTTCGGATTTTGCTATTATTGCCAAGATGTGTTGCTTCTGCCCCACAATGCATTATTATTATTTGTTTTTATATGCACAGGCTGGAGCAGGCGGTGAAGCTTATAAACCAGCTGGATGATGCTAAATTCAGTGCATTGCTTGCAAGAATTTTACAGAAGCTGCCCTGCAAGGTAAGCTTTCACGGCATTTCTGACCAGTCTTCAGGGTACTTTGCCTCACTGTGTGCTTGCATGGAATCTTGCAATGGGGCTTACTCGTGTATTAAAGGTACACTAAAGTCAACAATTTACATCAGAGTGGAAGCTTAATGTATGACAACATCTAAAACGACAATATTATCAACAAGAGTGCTCTACTTAGCGAGAAATAAAGAAAATGCACAAGAACACAAGCGTTACAGTAGGACATTTTCAAAATGATCCCAATGACATCAGACCTACTATCAACCACTAGTAATCGATCTAACTGCACTAAATAGAGAACCTTCTGTACATCTAGAGATGCAATAAAGTGCAGCTTGTTCTTTTCTGTTTGATTCATGGAAAAAAGAACCGCCGAACGTTACTATGGGGAATGGCGCGAGTGGTTCAAAAATTCAATTTTCGCGTGGGTACATGGGACAGGCAGTGCCATCTAGCGGGGCGCAGTTGAAACAAAAGTGTCTGCAATCTCGAAGCTAATGGCGGGTAATTGATCAGTGGCTGTTGTTGCTGCTGTGGCTCCCACTGCTTTCGGTTTGCTGCTACTAGCGCAGTAAAGCCGGGCAATGTTCTGCACGGCAACAGTGACGTGAGACGGTACGGTCGTTCCGCTTTTTGAGGCTGGTAATTTGAAATGCGCTAACCCCATGTGGAGCACTAAAACGTGATTTCATTTTAAATTAGGCCCTTTCTTGGCACAAAAGTAACACTACGAAGTTTCTGAACTGTAATTTCAACTATCAACGTCGACTTAATAGTTGACTTTAGTGTCCCTTTAAATGACCTACTAGAGTCTCTGAACAACGCTAGCTGAGATCAAGCTTCACACAGTTTTTATGCGAGCATTGGGAATAAGAATGGAAAAAAAAAAAAACAGTGGCAACTTCATTTTTAGTGTTTCATGCATTTTTCTACCACATTTTTTTCCCAATCGTGTTTCATCGATCCTCACAGTTCTCAACCAAGGGTTGAAAGAGGCACCCCACGAGGTACCTTCTTATTTCACGCTCATTCACTGAAAGCTGGTTGGTGCTGAACCACAGTATATTAGTTTTAGTAGGACTCGCTGATCAGCTATTGATGTCTGCAGGTTCGTGTGTTTTATGTTGTTTATTAAACACAACCTTAACTACAAATCGATCAACAGCCAAGGAAGGTATAGGGGACGTTATTTGTAGTCTTTCTTTATGTAAATTCGAAGACATCAATGTAGACAAATAGACAACTTGCTGCAGGCAAGAACCGAACCTGCAACTTTCGGATAGCACGTTCGATGCTCCCAGAATTATCACTGAGCATTTAGTTGGTTGGTAATTTATTCATTTATTCAGTAGTTGTGACAGATGCTTAGGGTACATTTATAAAAGTTTAAAAAGTTTTTTTGCATTTTCACTTCACTTCACTTTTATTTCCTTAAAGACCCCCTGTAGGGGTATTACATAAGGGGTGGTGCATAACAAAAAAAAAAAAAAAAAAAGAGAACTATACAACGGTGTTTTTAATGGCTTCTGCAAACATAGATGGGTTAGTGATGGCACAGGTGGCGTGAGGAAGGCCATTCCAGTCTTTTGCTGCTCTTACGAAAAAGGAGGCTTGGAATACAGTGGTCCGGGTACGTGGTAATGCGACTTGTAACGGATGACCAGTGCGATGGGATATGTGCGGAGGGGGCGTGATGTACGGTGGATGATTCAGTGAACTGAAATAAAACATATGAAAAAGAGAGAGGGTGGCACACCGTCGGCGTGAAGCAAGGGTTTCTAGACCTGATTCCGCCTTTAGAGATGAGATGCTGATATCGTATGAATATGCAGAATGAATGAACCTGGTAGCCCGATTTTGAAGTGATTCGAGTTCACTTATGATGTATGATTGATGAGGGCTCCAGATGGAAGATGCATACTCGAGTTTGGACCTGATAAATGATTTGTATGCAAGCGTCTTGACGTGAGGCGGAGTATGGCGTAAGTGTCGTCTGAGAAACCCGAGTGATTTATTAGCAGACGAGATGATGTTAGTAGTGTGATGACGCCAAGACAGGTCATGAGCCAAGGTGATGCCGAGGTATTTGAATGATTGAACTGATTGTATGGGAACATTAGTGATGGAATAGGTAAACTCAAAAGGGTTACGGTGGCGAGAAAAAGAAACGAGCTTACATTTATTAGGATTTAAGTTCATTAACCAACGATCACACCATGTTTGTATGTTGTTAAGATCATGCTGAATTAGTGTTTGGTCATGAATGTTGGTTACTGATCGGTAGATTACGCAGTCATCGGCAAACATACGAAAGTTACATGATACATGCAATGGTAGGTCGTTAATGTAAATTAAAAAGAGTAGAGGCCCTAAGACAGACCCTTGCGGGACACCTGAGGTTACAGGTAGTCGGTTAGATGAGTGATTATTAACAAACACAAATTGGGAACGATTAGTCAGGAAAGATGTTATCCATGCAAGTACATTAGGATCTAGATTTAACAGAGATAATTTAAGAATTAGGCGCTTGTGAGGGACAGTGTCAAATGCTTTGGCGAAATCCAGGAAAAGAGCATCGGTCTGAATGTTGCAGTCAAGGTTAGAATGTAAGTCGTGAATGAAAATGGCCAGCTGCGTTTCACAAGAATAACCCCTTCGGAACCCGTGTTGAGAAGGATGAAAAAAGTGCATTGAGTCCAAGAAGTTGATGATATGGGAGTAGATGACATGTTCCATGATTTTGCAGGGGATACTTGTTAAGGATATGGGACGGTAATTTAGTGGAGAATCTCTGTTACCTGATTTGTAGACTGGAACGACCTTGCCTACTTTCCAGTCTGCTGGCAGAATGCTTGATGATAATGACTGCGAAAATAACAATGTAAGGTATGCGGCACACACATGTTTAACATTTATGAGAAGTTTTGAATTAATGTCATCCACACCTGCAGAAGAAGAAAGCTTAATCTTTTCTATAATCGAAATGATGCCGTCCGTAGAAAATGCAATCGGGGGCATAGACTCGGTGCTGCGCGCAGGTGAAGAAAAATCGGGAACTGAACTCTCATTCGTAAAAACAGAGAAAAAGGCCTCGTTAAAAAGGTTCGCGCATTCATTGTTGTCGACTATATCGCCATGCGCATTTGAAAGACTAGTGGTGCGCATCTCCTGAGGGTTTATCACCTCCCAGAATTTGCGAGGGCTGGTTGCAAGCATTTTGGGCAGCTCTTCATGAAAGAACACGTGCTTGGCGTTTCGAATGGTTCTAAGATAATCATCTTCCGCGGCGTAATATTTTTCCCATAAGGACAGAAGTTTAGACTGTTTGGCTGATCGGAAGAGGCGTTTTTTCTTGTTTCTTAGTTTGTGAAGTGTACGTGAAAACCATGGCTTGTTTCGGTTTGCGGTAAACGTTATTTTTGGGATAAATTTCTCGACAAGAGTGGCTAACTTATCTCTAAATATAATCCAATTCTCATCCACAGAGCGTGTATGGCTTATTCTCTCGAAATCAGGAAGAAAAGATATCAATTCATTATTGATAGCACTATAATTGCCCTTGTCGTAAAGACGGATTGTTTTGGTGACAAGATCGCGTTTTACAGGTCGAAACGCAAAGGCCGCATGGATTACCTTGTGGTCACTGACGGCACGCAGATATGTAATTGATGATAAGCTCTCTTGATGACTAGTTAGTATTAGATCTAAGATGCTGGAATTGCTCTCTGTAACGCGCGTTGGTTGGGATACAAGTTGGGTTAGATTGCAATTCAGGCAGAAATCTATGAAGTCCTTTGCGGGCTCACTGCCCACAGCTGACGGGACGCTACTACTCCAATCTATTTGAGGGAAATTAAAATCGCCGAAAAGCAGTATCTCTGCTTGCGGATACTGTTTCCCAAGGTCACTCAGGTTGTTGTTGAGCTTATATGCGAAATCTGGGTCACTGTTCGGGGGCCTATAACAAACGCCTACAAGGACAGTATGAGGGCGAGCACGGCAAACGACCCAAAGAATTTCAAGTTCAGGAGAGTTGGTCCTGGTCACCGAGCACGATAACTGTTGGTGCACAGCTATCAGAACCCCGCCTCCACGTGCGCCTGTACGGTCCTTACGATAAAGTTGAAATCCAGGTAGGTGATCTAGCACTTCTGCATCGGTTATATCATTTGTCAGCCAAGTCTCGGTTATCACCAATACGTTACTGCTTGATGACAAAGCAAGCTCAGAAAAAGTTATGCGTTTCGGAAAAAAACTGCGCGCGTTAGCAAAGACTACCGAAAGTGACAGGCCAGATTGAGGTGTGGGGGTGTGCCCGGCAGGTTTGCGCCGAGGAAATTGCTACGACGCTTCCCTTACAGTTTGCGATTGCTCATCGTAGACGTAGCGCTTGTGACCCATTAGCAGTGTCTTGTACGTGATGGAAAAAGGCAGCGACTTGGTTTTAGCAAAGGCAATCAATTGCCGACGGACGTTTTGCACACGACGAGAAAAATCTTCACCAACACTAAAAGTGGTTCCTTTAAATTTCCGTCCATTAGAAAGAATCTCTCCTTTTGTTTTATGGAATGCGAATTTAACTATTATGGGGCGATGGTGGTTAGTACCCTTGCGGCGACCCAGACGATGCGCGCGCTCAATTTCCTTCGGATCGATGGAAATACCTAGACGATCTCGGCAGTGCTTGATGACAAGTTGTTCAACTTGGACAAGTGCTTCCGATCCAGTTGATTCAGGAAGGCCATAAAATATGAGGTTATTGCGCCGAGAATGATTCTCGGCTTCATCCACGCGTGCTTCAAGCTTGCGCAGAAGGTCACTCGCGCGAGCGGTGTCTCTTCTGAGCGCTTCCACATCAGTACGTAAGGAAATAATATTTTGGCAGTGCCCTTCCAGATCAGTCATGCGTCTACTGAGATCTGCTATAGATTTATCTGTTGATAGCAAATGGGACTTAAGGTCCTGTACCTGACTGATTAATTCCGTCTGACCGGCAGACAATTTCTGCAGTTCAGTTAGTACAGCATTAGAAGCAGGACCCGGATTGCTTTCAATATCGCCCGACATCATCAACAAGGCACGAATAACACGAGAACACTCAAGAGCAACAAGAACGCAGCAGTGTGGGCTCGGCAGCTGAAACAGCAGGTAATTACTAGACTTCTTAGCGAGAAGACTGTAAGTTTTACTAACCTGCATGACAAGAGTGAAAGGATTAGCGGTCTGCGTTGGTGCACAGCCGCCGAGCCCACACAGCGCCGCCGGCAAAGGCCGCTCTTTTGTAGTCGACACAGGCATCGATGCCGATGCTGATAGCGTCGACCAGGTTTTGTCGAGGACCATGTAGCTGACCGGTGGCGCCGGAAGGGATCCAGATCTGTTGCGTGAGGTGAAATCCAGTGGTTCCAAGTACGTTGCGGTTGATAAGCTTGTGTCGAAGACCAAGAGGGCGTGACAGGTAAGCGTGCCACTTTCGCTGGAACGATGTTGATACTGCAACGGTGTGGTCAAGGAAGCTGGCAGGAAAACGGAAAGCAGTATGCGCAGGAATGCGCACTGAAACACCTGCATGACAAGAGTGAAAGGATTAGCGGTCTGCGTTGGTGCACAGCCGCCGAGCCCACGTACCCCACGCACAGCCGCCGAGCCCCGTATTGTGCCTACTATTGCCAGATTCTGGTACTGCCCAGGCCGTTTCTGTTTTGCAACACATTGTTGGTTGTTGAGTGGCGAGAGTGATATGCCTCAAGGAGGTCATTCTTCAGTTTTTACAGTGGGTTCATTCTGTATGGTTGCAAGGAAACTAAGCAGCCGTACTAGCTTTCGAAAACTTGCACGCATATTTTGTTTTGCTGTTTAGGTTGCACGTGCCAAACATGCATTTACACTTGTACATGGATGCCAGCACCACAATTTCAATCTTAATGTCTTCTGGGTGCCGATAGTGAGCTGTTGTGAAGCAGAAATATTGTTATGTAGGATTAATATTTTGGTTGTGCTCCCTCTAGTGAGATATCAATGTGCCTACGGGCATGGCAATCTTACAGCTTAAGCACAAAGCAGTGCCATGCAGCCATGATTTCATTTTTTGGATGCTGCTACCCAAGCACACTAGTTTTGCATCAACTAGTGCTTTCTGGATGTTTGTAAGTTGTAACTATTGTTGTTATTTCGAACAAGCACTATACCCTGCTATTACTACAAGTAATATTGTAGTAATCTACTCTCTAAATATCTGTTTTTTTTTTCATATGTCCTCATAGTGTATAAGTACAGTTATTAATCCTTGTGGCTCCTTTAATTTGTGAAATATACATTATGAACATGTTGCACTGCAATAGCTGGAACATGCTGTGGTACTTATAGTAGTGCGACATTCTCGGAAAGTATAAAGTATTGTGAGACATTTTGAAAGCTGTCGGAATGGGAGAAATTGCATATTGTTAGTTAAGTCTCGTTTGAATATACTTGTTTCAGGATGAACGCAGCTTCACTGAGGAGGAAGAACAGAAACTGCAGCGCGCCTTTAACTGCGATGCACAGGAGGTCACCCTTCTTCTAGAGTCCCTCTCCTTCATCTTTGAACAGGTAGGTGGTGCCCCCTACCCCCCCTTTTTTTTTCTGCCTCAGTAAAATACTGCAGCCGACTTTTTTTTTTTTTTTTTCTGGACACAGTTCTGAAATTCGGCACATGTGCCGTAGAATCGCAAAACTAATTGCAAATTTTCACGAAGGTAGCCCTGTTTGTTTCTGAAATCAAAATTGATAAGATCTTTCCTCCTTGAAGAAAAGCCTGGCACAGTGATAAAACAAGCTGTAGTTACATTTTATGCATGCCTGAGTGTTTTTGTTTACATCAAGACTATGTTGATTTTAACTACATTAGCAGTTTTATGCTTACATTATAATCATGTTACCATATTGAACTGTAGGAAAGTATATTTAAAGGCTCGTTTTCTTAGTTTGGCTCAATTTTAACGAAAAGTAGCCGACAGTAATGCCAAGGAGGGTATAGGGGACGTTAATAAAAGGTGATCATAATGTAATTGTGAAGAAAGAAAAGTGGACGAAAAAATAGCTTGCCACCAGCGGGGATCGAACCTGCGACCTTCGAATAATGCATTTGATGCTCTACCACTGAGCTATGGTGGCGGTCATCCCTCCTTCAATTTATAGGGTGTTTAGACAATTATTAGACATGGGCGCCTTAGTTAGGAGCATTACTTTTTATGGACATGAAATGTACCCACACCGCAAAGCAAGCACCGCAGTTTGTGCTCCGGGGCCAATTGTTATTTCAAAGAGATACTTTCAAAGGTTTAGAATAATGCTAAATAACACATTGAACCAGTTTATACTGTTACATTTTTATTACTGTTTACTTTGTTGATTTCACAATAAGAGGTTTAACACTAGAAGTGAAACTCAATTTTTAAATGGAAGGCTAGACATTCATTACAAAATATCTTAGGCCTAAGCTTCAGCATCACGTATGTCACTTTTCTGAAAGTGTTTTCTTGTATTTGAGTCCTTGTGGTACACTAAATGATTTGATAACAAGGCAAGTTGAGGTACGGCCTGAGATAAAAAGGTGCTTGTTTATATTTATGAAAGAAATTTGCTTTTCAAAACTGATGCCATGAACTTTTACAGTGTTCTCGGTGAGATGCTTTGGGAATTTGAATGTAGCATATGCACCAGTCTTTCATTCTTGCCTCTTTCCTGACTCATGTTGCCTTTCAATTATTTTTCTACTACTGCTATCTAAGTACAAGTGGATGTAAAAGTTTATAGTATTTTTCTCATTAATGTTCCTTTGAGGCGTTCCAAGTGTAACTGTCTTGCAACTGGCATGTCATCTCCTGCCCTATATTTCCCATGATTACATTGTTTGTTTCTTGTTTTCCACGTATTGTGCAGGCTGCATTCCACTTGGCAAAGCCACAGGTGCTCCGTACGCAGCTGACAGATCTGGGCATGGAGGAAAACAAGGTGTGTTCCTCTGGAATTCTCATTCTTTCTTTCACGAGTTTATTCTGTGTAATTTTGTAGTATATGGTTAACTGTAGTTGGACTCGAGTTAATAAGACTCGTTCATATGACCAAAGTGTGGCAGCCATTCATGACTTATGTGGTGGTCCTGCTCAAGTACTTGGCAATGTTCTCCAATAGCAAGGTCGCCCACAGTCTGGATTTTGACATTTGTCAAAAGGACGCATTCATTAGTGCAGGCTTGTGTGTGCATGCATCTTTGAGATATAAATGCTACTACCTTCTAAAGTTGTACCGGATGATAGTTCAAGAAACTTTAGAAAGGTGAGGAAATGTATGAATGAATGTGAGTAAAGTACATTGTGGAAGTAACGTACATAATCACATGAAATGCTTTTCTTATGGCGACATACTTTCCTAAAATGTGTCGCATTTTATGTAAAATCTCACATTACACCAGACTGACCATGGAGTCACATCGTTGCAACACCTACGCGATGTGGACATTAGTGCTTGGTGTAGTACTAGCCTAGCATCTGTCACATCGCACTGCGAAGTATGAGGCCGCAAATACGATTCTCCGCCACAGCTCCTGCATTTTGGTGGAAGAGTAATGTAGAAGTGTCTGCATACGTACGTTCCGACATATGCTAAAGAACCACAGAAGATCAAAATTTACTCAAAGTTGTGTAATGGGAGGCATGCCTAATAATCATGTTGTGGTTTGGGCATGTAAAACCTCAAAACTTGGGTTCTGTTCTTTATGTGTCTCTTATAGTACTGCCTTAACACATCTGCATTTTTGCTCCGTATCAGGTTCAGTGCATGGTGCAGTCGTGGACAAGTCATGCCAAGCAGCTCGTTGAGCAGTTGAAGCAGCGCTCTCTTGCTCCCAGACAGGTCAGTGCACTACTGCTGTTACTTCTGGAGAGTGCCAATAGTGAAGAAAGTTTAAAGTCACCGCTGAACAAGCTCTCTGCCACGTCTGCACACTCGCGAAATGCTTGCCACCAAATGTCTGACATCTCTGTGTCCCCACTGAGCCTCCATAGAAGAACCGAAAGTCAGGCTATCTGGTATTTCTTGAATATAGTGCCTGAATAACATGTGCCTTCAGTATGTGACCATATGGAAATGTTCCTCAATAGCCCTCTTTGGTGTTTAGCACTGCAGACTTCTTTCAGGGCCACATCTCTCTAAGCACTCACTAAAGATGCCCTGTTAAACAAATTTAACCAAGCGAACTTCATGTAACCTTACTAGAGGAGTTGTACAGCAGCTTTAACTGGAAGATCTTAGGAACTGCCTAGAATCCAAGATACGTTTTTCTGAGTATGAGTGTTTTGTAGACTTGTGACAATAGTGAATTTTAAGTTCCAAGCAAATAGTGATTTTGGTTGAATAATTTTGAATCGAATTCCTATAGTATATATCACATGTTCTAGAGAAAAGTGGGGATATTTGTCATGACTTTACTAACCTGCACAGTATATATATTTTTTAATTGAAGCAAGCCCTGTGCAATGTCATTATTTTTGGTTCATGGGAAGTGAAAATAACTTTGAATAGTAGCTGTATTTGACTTTTTGTAGAATATACATGATAATCTGTAAAATGTGTTATGTTTTAAATTTACTCTGCTAAGAGCATATAAGCCAGTATAACAAGCTTTTAAACTTACAAAAAATGAGGAATCGGTGTGAGGGTAACATGTAAAAAGTGGGGCTTCGCGGCAGTGCAGATTTTTTTCTACATAGGTGTTTCCACGGTGTAGCATTCTTTCACAGCAGCAAAACCATCTTTACAAGAGATTATGTACTGGACTTATCTATTCGTTCATTTTAAATACTTCGAAATATCCACAATTTATATTTGAATCAAAAGCGATTTGAATACAGTAATATTTGTTTGAATATTGAAAGCATTCTAATATTTGCGCAAGTCTACTTTCATGCAGCTTTCTGGGAGCTTTATTTCTGCTAAGTTAAACATAGGACACACAGTGCAGATCTTGTGTGCTTGTCCATAGGCTTCTAGGAAGTGAAAGCTAAAATTAAGGTAAAAGAATGTAAAAGCAGCTACTAGCCAGTGTGCCGCGACTAGTTGTGTGCCATCTTAACTCCATGCTAGTTGCTCAAATTGAAAATAGCTTTTGTCGGTAGCTTCACATTGTGAGCTCCTTTAGCCCGTCGTTGCGAGTTTACAGTTTCGTAAACATTTTCTTAGGTTTTAAGTCATAGTTTTGCGATTGTACGCCTTGTATTTGTACACGTGTAGCTTAGTGGCTTTCATCAACTCTCCAATAGAAGTGTATGCACGTGCAACGATTACAGTCGAAACCCGTTATAACGAAATCGCTGGGGAAACCGAAAATTTCGTTTTTATGAGAATTTCGTTGCCACAAGTGTGAGACAAGAACAGTGATACGGCCAGCAGAACGAAAATTTATTGCCACAAGTCGGTCAACTTACTTTGCCGACCCTTGCCATGCAACAACTTCAAAGCTCTCCCTTCGCACTGGAAAAAGTGGTCCACTGGAAAAAGTGGCTACGTCGTCGTTATGTGCGCCGAAGAAGGAGCGAAGGGTGTTCAGCGCATCCAAAACAACCCGCGGGCTGGGTTTCTTTGCGTGCATCTCTTCTTGGTCCTCGGTGTCGTCAGCTTCACGCACGCTTTCGATAATGACCTCGTCGGTCACTTCCTCGTACACGACTACGTCGTCATCGGTGCGAACGAACGCATCTACGGTGAGTTCATCTGGGATGTCGATATCGATGGCTCGAAGTTCCCCCCAGGCGTTGGTCAGGGATAGAGGCACTGCACTGCCACCACTCTCGCCGTCAAGTGCGCCTTCGTCCAAATCTTCGTCTGGTGAAGCCGAAGCGCAATCCGTGCGTGATGCTTGCACGATGGTGGTGAAGCCCACATGATCATTTGCCATCGCCTGCTGCAGTGTGGCCAGGCATGTTGCCGGACACAGACCCCATCGCCAATAAAGTTAACAAACATGGCGGTACCCATGCTAGTGCAGCAAAAGCAGACGTTTATAAATTTTGAGTGCGCATAACACACATACCAGCATATTTTCGACTGTTAACCTTTGGCGGGAGGGTAAAGTAAGGCCCGCACCGTGGTAGAAAATTTGTTAATGCGGGATCGTTGTCCAAAACCATTTCGTTGCCGCGAGATTTGTAATACATGGGCTTCTACGAACGTTCGCCGGGGATCCGGAAATATTTTGTTGCTGCGGGGATTTCGTAATCGCATGGTTTTGTTATTGCAGGTTTCGACTGTAGTTGAGTACGTGATATGCATCTGTCTGTGCACAATTGTGCAGCTTCAAAATGTGGACTGGGAGGTGCAAGTGCGGACAGCTCAGCAGTCTGCAGCACGGTCCAAGAGGCTCCAGGCCCTGGTGGACCTTGTCGTCTCCACAGGAGCTGCACATGACCACCTGCTGCTGCAGTTTTCACATGGACAGCTCTTCAACCTTTACACGCAGGTGTGAATTGATATCTGCTCGATATGACTCAGTAAGAGAGTATGAGGTTTCCAAACAGCAAAAAAATTGTGAGAAATGCCAATTTTTGGAAATAATGATTCTGAAGTACTTGCACTTGAAATCATGCTTCGGAAAAATAAGATGCTATGGCAAAATAGCCTGTCTCTCTCTCTCTTTCTGATTGGCTCAATAGATTAAATTACAAATGTTCTCAATCCTTGAAACACTACTTTATCAGCATTGTCAATTTTCTGAACTGCCTCTGCCTTACGAAAGTTCGGGAAAATTCTTTATGAGCATATTTAAACAAACTTAGTATCATTTTTTTTAGCAGCAAGTGAACTACAGGCTAAAGCTTTTCTTTTTTTCACAACCTTGGTACAGTCGTAACTATTTGATAAGTACCAGCCAATTAATGCAAGCTAATTTTTTACTTTCTAAGGTTGAAAATAATTTTTCAACAAAAAAATAGCTGTTTTGGCATCTAATTTTCTTTAGCCTGTGTAGTATACTTTTTAGACAAAATGCGTAGTTCTGTGGAGTAACGTTTACTTGTCTAAAATATCGTAACGACCCATAAGAAATCTAGTTATATTGTGGAAATATATAAGTACTTTCTTGCTCAATTAGATATTTGAAATCTCCATTCGGGGATGACATGCAAGCCAATTTTTATATAGATAGGAAATGTACCACTTGTTACCCAAGTAGATACTGTTGAATCTTTGACGTCATCATGGCTAGCTGGTGCGGGAAATTTCATGGCGATGCCACTGCCTGCCTTTCATTTATACTCTATTTCTGGCTGCAGTTGTTGCATTTTTGGTAGTGTTCAATGACAATGTAGTGGTGTTACTACTAAAATTGTTTTTCGCTTTTATATTCGTTTAGACATGTCATTCGACCATCAGGCGACACTTGCCTGATGGCAAGTGATATGTTTACTGGATCTTAAATCAATAGAGTTAGATTGTCAAGGGCCTTTTTAGCTTTTCGTGCCCACTAAGTGTATTCTGTTGATTGTTGCAGTTGGAGCAAATTCAGGTACAGCTCGACAGCCTCATCTGAGCTGGCTCTGAGAGCTTGTGACTCCTCCTGTCGTCACTATCTTTCTGTCCCCATTACCTGACCACTGGCTGGACCACAGTCGACAGTAAGCTTGTCCCTCCGACTGAAGATGCTTTAGGCATTATCTTGGCCATTGTATGATTGCTGGCAAATACTTTTGCTTTGTATCAGACCTAGCTACTTGTACTCTTCTTTTTTTTTCTCTTTTATTTGTTATGAAGGTGATACTGTCTTGTCAGTGAACTATAAGTGACCATTAACACCCATCTCAGGATTTGTTCTGCTCAGGGTTCACTCATCCCAGTCTGCAACATTGACATGGCTGTATTGTAGAGATTTGGCGCTGCGCGTGAGTTAGTTTTTTTTGGCAGTTCAGAATGTGGATGCTGTCGGCTACTGTAGTTATGCTGGGCCTCAAAAGTTTATAGACCGACTGAGCTTCATCATTACATGGAGCGTTGTCTGAATTTGTGGATGTGGAACGAGTGGGGCACACATCTCGCTTTTAAGCGTCCTGATAGGGCCCCGGTGAAATGGTTTGCAGCGAGAGTAGAAGAGCGTCTGTTTTGTGAACAGTGTACGCTCGTTCATTTGTGCTTCGCTGAAGCAGGAGAATCAAGTATGCAGTTTCTTGCGAAGAAGTCAGATTATTGTAAAGTTGGTGTAGATGGCTGCAGTCGTAAAGGTTATGGTTTTGTGAATCTCACTGGCCCGTGCAGTCAAGGTATAGAGTAGCTTAAAGAATGGACTTTGTTTGTAATTTAACTTGAGTGCTTCATTTGTGAATCATAGCTATGGATCATTCATTTATTAGTATAGTCACTACCTTGTTTCATAATATGAATAACTGAGGAATTTTTTTTTTAATTTTGAAATCTCAGGCATAGTGCAACTGTTTTTGGAAAGGAACACATCAGCTGTGACTTCATTATTAAGAAGTTAGCTGCTATTTTATCAGCACGAATACATGTTCCTACTGATTATCCTGTAGCCTTACTGAATTAGCTCCTAGGAATCCTGTAACAGTTGCTTTGTATGATTAGGGAAGGTTTTAAGGCACAGACTGTTTGTAAATTGTGTATGGAGGAGGCTAGTATTGCATCACTGCTTTCTCACAAGAACATCACACTTATTAAGAAGGTGGAATCAATGTCCACAAAGACATCGCATGTCTAGCCTAATCATTCTAAAATATACATTTACAAATACTGTATTAAGGATGGAGGTAAGACCAAAAGCAAGTCTTTCGCAACATGCAGACAACAGTGAGTGACCTGTCAGAAGCTCGAATACACAAGCAAATAAGAGCAGTGAGATAATGGCGCAAGTGGAAAAATGTCGTAACATTGTGTTTGCAGAATCACTGACCCCTTCAATGTCATTGCCACTAATTAGCAGTGTCTAATATTTCATGTCTATCGATTCCTTATTTTATCGTATATGTTTTTAAAGTAATCTGTGGTCATTTTATTGCAACTGTTACAACCACTCACTGAAATGTACTACGAGACATGGAAACGTGAAGCAAAAAGTGTGCTTGCCTGACATTACTTGTTACAAGAAAGGAATGTGAGGTACAGACAGTTTATTCGAAAAGGACATTGGTGAGTAAGGAATTGGAGACGTCAGAGAAGCCAAAGTCTGCACGTTAGACTATCGTGGGGTTGCATGATTTTGCGTACTGTAAATTGTAAAGAACTTGGGTTGCACTTCATGCCATGGACAGCCAAGTGGTTTGCCTGCTCCTCAATCTGGTCATATGAATTTCTGTTTGCATTGGTTTTCCCCTCGCTTTTAATTCAGATGACTATTCAGGCTCAGGACTCTTTGGCAAGGTCTGTACAGTTCACTTTCATTAATTTGTCGCAATGTAGCTGGACCTTCCTTTAATAGACAGTTATAGTGTACCGGGCTTAGCGGGATAGCGGGCTTACCGTGATAGCGGGATCGAAGTGCGCATGCGCAGATACGTTTGTTACCCATACTGCTTACCGTGCACGTGCTATTTTTCAGATTTGACGTTACCGTGTTAGCGTAGTGCACGTATAGTGTACGTAAACATGGCAGCGCTTTCGGACTGCTCGCTTTGAAGTGATTTTGACACAGTTGTTGAAAGATTAACTTTGTTTGGAGCAAACGACTGTTTAAAATGGCTTCGCTTGCCTTTAGTTAGGTTCGATCACCGAGTATTACGGATAAGCTAGCGTAATTTTTGAGATAGCTTCCCATTTCGAACGTCTCTAGGCTTAACTAGAAGATCGATGTAAACCAATCGACAACTTGAATGTTTTAACGTTTGGTGCGTGGTTCATATTTATTTGCTTTTATTATTACTAAAATAAACTTGTAACAATACTTTGTGCGGTGACACAGGCATTCTCGTTTTCTTTTCCGTTTCACTTATCTTATTAACCCTTCGTTAGATGCCTCCACCATCGCAGCTGGGGCACGTAATCCACGTAAGTGCTATCCCGCTAAACTATAAGACGCTGTCCGCAACGAAACCTTGCTGCACAGTAACGGCATTTCTTTAACCTCCTCTATCACGCTAACGGTAAACTATAACTATCTAATGTATACCATGTTCAGAAGTTCCAAGAGGCGCCTTGTGCTTGTTGTGTGCTTCCTTCTAGTCAAAATTTTAACCAACTATACTCTCCTTCCTTGTTTAAAAAACAAGAACCAGAGGGGGGGGGGTTCAACCAAATTTTAGTTAGACCATGGAAGTTGTTGGGTGTCCAATGAGGAACACTTTGCAACAAAAAATTTTTTGAATCTGTTCATTACAAGCTGAGAACTTTTTTTTTTTTGCTGAAGCGGCACGAACCTAGGATGAGAGAAGGCAAGCTCGAAACCCTTGCCGCTCCTCTGCGTAGCCTTCGCAAGCCAAATCTCTTCCCTACCATTTCCGGCATTCGACCTAGAGGCCACGTGCGCATGACATGCTCGAACATGCTTACCCCCGTGCACGCAAGCGGCTTTTTTTTTTTTTTTTTTTCTTGTTGACCAGCATTATTTTGAGGCCTACGGCATGTTTCTGCGGGATAGTTTGGAAACGCTGGCTTGGACGAGGTAGAATATAGACGAGCACAATCAGTGCACGAACGCCTAGGAGCGTTTCACGCCTGTCGTTTGCTCGATGCGCTGACCGCAGGGACATGAACACATGCGAAACGCCGGCACATTAGCTTCGCATCACCTTGAAGTTCATGGGGAGAAAAATGAAAAAAAAAAAAGAATGCTCACATTTTCTTATTGCATCTTATTATTTATCTAGTGATTTATTAATCTCTTCAAGCAACAAATACATGAACTACGCATGTCGTGTTAAATAATTTTCGCCATGCCACGTGCCACTGTTGGCAACGTCAAAGCATAGTTGTCTATGTAGAGGACGAACGTCACTGCATTGCCGTGTATATAGGGACATTCATGCGCACGTCATGCCCTCATTATCTGGGCGCCCTCCTGCAAAAGAAAGGGGGAGCAGCATTCATCTTGAAATTTGACCCATTTTCGCGGCGTGTAGCGTTGCAAATTTTGGCAGACGTGATTATGAACGTCTTTTCTACGCATTGCGCTTGTCAGCACAACATTTTCAAACCTGGTGAGTGGCCCTTTAAAAGGATAGGATGGTTTCTGCACTACCTTTGCTTTGATGAGAGAAAAAAAAATCTGCATTAAAATACTTCTAGAAAATGTTTACAGGCATCATATTGTGAGCTACAAGTGCCTCTGTCCACATAGACTTCACTTGTTACTCGCAGCACTTGCTTTTATTGTTCTTGTTCCTGTTTTCTGCCTTCTTCAGACGTATGATCTCAGACACTTGAGCATAGAAATGTGGCAAACGATTTCTCGAAACGGGTATGCCACAGCTCCATGGTGAGCTGAAATTCGAATAATAGTGTTTAACTATACCCCTGGAGGGTTCAAGAGAAATGTTTCAATGATGCCACGCCATTTCTGGATGTTCGGTATATTCTTCTCGTGGTCATATTTTCATAGCGAGTGGTTGGTGAAAAGTGTGTGTGTCCATCTGTGCATGGCGTTCTGCACACATGTACTAAACTCTTTAGGCATTCCTTTATTCCTTGAAGCAATGAGCTGCTCCTGCATGGCAACTGATTTCATTGCTGCTGCATTTTATTATGTCTAGTGATACACATACTGGCAGTCACAGTTGCCAAATGTGCTATCAATGTAGAGTTGCTTTAATGCATAAAACTCGAAAAAAGATAGATAACAGCTGCTTGGACCTTACCTGCAAATGAGAAGGTACAGATGTGCTACGTTGAAAGATTGGGTGAAATAGTTTGATACTATCTAAATTAATGCTGCTCTCTTGTATGCAGTTGATTATATTTTGATTCAGTAAAGATGTGCGCACTTGTCTCTTCAGAAATGGCAGTGCATAATCTTATAAGTGATTTGTGTGCTGCAGCTTACTTCAAATTTAAAAGGAATGTGGTCCGGTTGCAGTACCCAAAGTGTTTACTTTTTTTTTTTCTTCTAATAATATATAAACCAGCACAGTGGCTACATTGGGCCAAGATTAACTAAAATGGCAAACCAGTTTGATTCGATGTGACCCATTTCCTCGCACAACTTTGCTTATTTATGTATTTTGCAGTAGCCTCTAGCGTAGGTTCCAGCCAGAAGCAGAACACTATAACTCCTTACACATTCTTCTAGTTGCTATAGCACACTGTAGACTCTCCTGTGAAACTAACCTGGTGGGTATGACTTCCTGATACTCTGTACGCCTTGGGAAATTCTAGTTAGAGGCGGCTCTGCAAATTCTCTTCGTTTTTTTTTGTGGGCATGACCAATAGCGTATGGAAATGCTTTCGCTCCTTCTATCACTGACAGGATCCTGTCGTGAGCACCTTCTACAGACATCACTGTAAGGGTGCACTCACACCAGCTAATGCAGAGGTCACACAACTGACTGCAGCTAGTAAGCTGTCAGATATTTCTGCAAACTATAGTCATGCCGGCAAGTGTGACTTTCTTGTTGCTGCACCCAAGTGTCTCACAATTAACACCATTCACATTTACTCGCACTGCCATTAGCTTGTGAATAAGGCATCAGCATTATGCAGATGTCCTGCTCCTGTGCTACTAATTGGTTCAATGATTGGCAACAATAGTTGTGTGACAGACCAATATCAGTTGCTTTTAAACCAAAACAACCAGTTTCGAACAACTTGTTCACCTGACCTTTGCGAGTTGATTATGAGAACGAGTTTCAAAGCTGACACTCTGTACTGAGCTTTCTCGTATTGCTCTGCATATACTTTGGACTCCCACTGAAGTACTATATAATTTTAATGATATCGTGGCACTTGTCTTGGGTGTGAAGCTAGTCCATGCTGTGGCATCTTCCTGAGCCTACTGTTTTTCGATTGTGTCCTTTTAATAAGTGAGTACCTGCAGGAAAGCTGCAGATGGCCATAATGCATGGATGCATGTGTTCGCAGATAGGTTGTATTCTTCGCGTGTGTCGAAAGTGAGAGGGAAAAAAAAAAACTGACTGATCTCTCGTGGGAAGAAATGGGAAGTGATTGCTAGAATTGTCACGGTTACTGTGCAAGGTTGTCCTTTATATGGATATGTGTTGGTGGTGTCGAGTTTGTCTGTCAAGAAACGACAAAGTACACATGAACTGTAGTCACTGCGTGTGATGTCTCATGGTCTTGGCACTGGTCGCGTTCCTTATTTTTCTGTGTGGCTGTCGATGAATAATATGGCGCATTCTTATCTTGTTGGCTGTTGCCGTGCAGTGCTCGTGTACTGATTTGGCAAGTGTACATGCGTGGCACACACCGTAGCCACTTCCGGTTCTGCGGTTGCTACTGTCGCTTCCAAAATATTTGATGGCTTCATCTTCAAATGCAAATTGATAACTAATTTTACCCTAGGGCTGGCAAGGTGTGGCTACAGATGCGCTTGAACTCATCCAAACAGTCTGTTGATTAAAGCCTAGAAGATCATGCATAACTGCAAGCTTGAAACAGCCTTTTGTTTAGTGTTTATTGGTTTTGTGAGCCTAAATTGTCAGGGGTGTTGGTGCGGGAAGATTTTTATTTATTTAACTTAAGTTCACCACTCAAGAGATGGGACAAGGACCAAGTGCAGGCTGAACAAGACACCGTCTTGTCAAGAACTCACTCTCTTGTCACATTTTCTGGTTGGTGCACTCAAGCCTGTGAAACATTCCTCCTTTATTTTGTATCGTCGAAAGCTTTCTGAAGGCCTTGTAGGTGGCAGTAAGTGCCGGGCTACCGATTTTTGTAGCGTATCATTTGAGCAGTGCATGCAAACTATGGTTGAGGCTGTACTCAACAGTGTTCAAGACAGACGTGCTGTTTTGAAAAAGTGATGCAGTTGATGCGTAATTGTTTTTTCATTGAAGAAGTAAAAGATTTGGCCTGTAGTATTCTATGGCCACTGGTCTGTCAGCCACTTCCTCCTGTCCTGCCTGTTACCTACTGCATCAAAATTGGTCTGAATATCGGCTGCACTTGGTGGCATACACTGCCAAATCTCTTCAAATTGCTCTGCAGCACTGCTGAAGGCGGCACACTCAAGATACGACTGGGCTTGAAGGCTGCTCAATCGCTGTCCGTGTTTTTTTGCTGACAAGGACGTGGCTGTCCTTTTCTTGTCCTTCATTTGTTTGAGGTGCCACAAGATAGCTCTGCAAAGCTGTGGCCCATACTGCTCAAGAACGGCAGTTGATGCAATAGAACGCACAAGGTGTCTTTCCTCCAAGGCTTCCCGTTTTGGAAGCCCTATTGTGTACTGTGACATCATTTATCTGCTGGTGCCAGCGGACCTACCAGAGACCGTAATGTCAAGTCGCCACATGCTGCCATGTTGTTTGTGCAGTACAAGAGCATGGTGAGAGACACTTGGTGTAATGCGTAGTATGAAAATCCCTTCTACGCATTTCATCATGCTGTTTTTTTTTAATAAATGACCGAGAAATCAATTTTACAGCCAGTTTAAATTATGGTGGATTAACTAATTAGCCCTTATTGAAGGCTGTTGATTACATTGAATCTCTAGATGCTTGTCATTAATGTTTTGAGAAACTAAACAATAAGCAGTGACCATTCACAAGCATACTCCACTGAAAGGAATCAGTATTTGCTCCCGTTATTGCAGCTGCTAACAAATGACATGGCAGCATGGGTGCAGTATATTGCAAAGAGACTATGAATGGTGTTTCCAGAAGATTGTTGTTGAAGTGCATGTATGGGACCATCTCCAGCGAAAGCTGTTACATGCTTTATGTTCTTCCTCCTCTACAATGGCATTAAGATTTCGTTGGTGCCAGCCACGACTTCTTTTGAAATAATTTCTCGTTTGTATCACTGCCCTTCGGCGCAAGGTGCACTGAACATGAGTTCTGCTTTTGTGAACACTGTTTGTGTCCACAGCTTGTATTTTGTTTGTGAATGGAATTTTTGTGTATTAGTTTACTCAACACTTTTATGAATAATGTGTCACACGTTGTGTTAAATGTCTGTTTTGTTCATTGTTTTTAGCACTTTTGCCATCTTCTTGGACTTGTGTGTGCCTTGGTTTTTAACATTGCTAGCATTTCATTGTTGTGATTGGCAATGGGACCACTGCAGATTTATGTGATCCCTAAAGTGAATTTTTCAACTTCAGTTGACGAACTCATGAAGAGCCTTGTTTGAAAATCCTGTCTGTCATTCAGCATTTTAAGGTGCGGCTTTCTTTTTTGTGTCATTCAGAATGTTATGTCAGTGGTCCCCGACACACAGGAAGCTCTGGCTTAAGTTGTGCACCATTTTTATGCCCATTATGCCCGGTTTTGAAAAGACGCACAAGTTTACCCATCAATATCCCTCCAGTGTCAGATGCTAACACTGCTGTGGCATACGATCCACTGTGTGTAGTATAGCCCCCTTTTGTGTCATGGTTATTTCAACTGAGTGTGCATGCATCTATGTAGGTGCAGTTGTCATCATCATCATTACCGATGACAGCTGTTCCTTTTGTTAGTACTCCATTGCATGTGTGAAAGCTGTTACCCCTCAAAGTGAAAAATAAATGAGTTGGCACAAAGCTTGATCATTGCTTTATGGAACCTGCAGTATTCTGGCTCTTTCTTTTTTTGCATATTGTCAAATTTGTACAAGTGCTTCCATAAGCTAATAGTCAGTATGAAATCTGCATATGTTATGTTGCTAGATTATTAACAATAATCAATACTTTTTAAAAATTGATTAACAATTTAAAATTGAATACCCATTCATCAGGTATTCACTGTTAGGTTTCTTCATCCATTAATTAATTCACATTTTAAGCAGGCACTGTCAGAACGCTTGAAACTCTGGTTATATTCATCTAAACAACATATCTAACTAACGATTTAGAAAGGATTCAGAACCGCGCTGCCCGTTTTATTTACTCCCAATACTCTAACGATATCAGCGTTACTGCACTAAAAGAATCATTGAAACTGCCGTCCCTCGAATCTCGTCGTATCATTTCTCGATTGTGTCTGATGCATGCTTTCTATTATCACCCTCAATCACGGCACGTCCTCCTTCAACCATCACACAGAACTTCATCCCGCATAAACCACAGTCACCCTATCGCACCAATAAATGGACACACTTCTGCAATGATTACTTCCTTCTTTCCCAATGGGATAACACTGTGGAATAAACTACCTGATAATATAGTCACGTGTAATAACCGCCAAATTTTCCGCAGTAAGCTAAAATGTCACATGTCGCAATCTAACTGAATGTGCTGTTTTTCCTGCCAATGTTTAAATACTTTTTTTTAACTAATGTATAAACTGTCGTCACTTTTCTCTGGAAGCTTACCTTTGTACCATTACTTTTTTATTTGCATTTGGTAATATTGGCGTTTTACTTTGCATATTGTACCTTTTTTTTTTTTTCATTGTTCTTTGAATGTTTACGTTTTGGAACCCTTCGAGTTTTGTTGAGTTGTTCGACATACCTTGTACGCCGCCCCCCCTTATGTAATGCCTCCGGGCCTTTAAGGTGGAATAAATGAAAGTGCTACTTGTTCATTTGGAAGCTGCAACAAAGGTTGAAAACATGCACATAATGGGAATATAAATGATATTTAGTTTGCTAAATGCTAAACAAAACTGGCGCAAATGATAGCCAACGGATGAACAACAAATGGGATAAAGCCAAACACTACAGAAATTTGGGTTGATGCACTTGCAAGTGATGAAAAATCATTAGCGAGTGTTGCTAGAATGTCGTGGCATGTCAGATGCCACTATCAAATGGCAATTACTGTGTGGATATGCTGAGGTTTGGAGCAGAGAAATGGCACAGGATAATGGAAAACACGAGGACACTGTGCTTGAGCATTTTTTAAGCCAAGCGGCGTCCCGCATGGTTCCTTCGGGAGTATCTTGTTCGTTAGGCCTTGCTCCCCTTAACTGCGAACTATCCTCATCCCAGCAGAATACCCTCTTGCGCATACACTGCCAACACATGTCAGATATCCACAGTTGCCACCACACCCAGGGGGCACCCTATCACTGCTGATGGATGTCCTCACAGCAGGAAACCACAACATAGTCACTTGGCCAGCAGTCTGTTTATTTAGGGGTGAAGCTCCTAAAGACGTGGGTCTGTCCTTCCTCTGTGACCGGTTCGTAACCACATTTGCAAACTGCCGACTACTTCATCCTTGGAAACATCCCACTACGCCGCATCACCGATCCACCACTTCATCGACTATAAAGCACCTTTGCAAGTGAGTAAAAACTTTATTGACATTGTCCGGTGGTATTTAGCGGGTTGAGGCTACAAGCACCCCAGCCTAGGTGATGGCCTCGAGTCCTTGAACACTGGCGGCTTCCTGGGTGTGCTGGTCTGCCCACAGTTGATCGGCGAGGTCGCAGCTGAGCAGAACCGCCTCCCATCGGGCCTTGTTGTTCGAGACTGCCATGTTTACCTGATTTATAGGGGACTGCTGCACGCTCCCAGTGCACTCCCACAGCATGTTCTGCAGCGTCGCTCTTGCTCCACACACTTTACAGTCCTTGAATGTATAACTGTCCGGGTAACAGAGACGCAGGATCACTGGGTTTGGGTACGTGTGAGTCTGTAATAGTCTACACAACCTCCTGTTTCTTGTTTAGTTTTTCGTGTGGTGGTGCATATTTGCATCTGTTCAGTCTGTAGTGTTTGGTGATGTCTCTGAAAGTTGTCAGGCGATCCCCCCACGTCCACTCCCGGACTGTTCTCGATGTCTGCGAGACATCGGGGCTGCCGGCAGGCGCCACAGCTCGGCGTGGGCAGTCGCGTTGCCCGCGAGTGGAGAATCTGTGTGGGGGGTGGTCCATACAAAAAAACTGTCGTTTTTGTGGCAAATATTGCCTTCGCGGATTATGAGAATGTGTGCTGCTTCGCGGGAGATCCAGCCGCTGGCGTAGTTGCGTAGGGCTGCCTGAGAGTCGCCTATTATCACTTCGCCGTCTGTAGTAGCTATCGCGAAGGCTATCGCCGCTTATTCGGCCACCTCCGTCTGCGTAATTCGTGATCGCTACGGCGAATCCGCGTTGCCGCTCTAATGTTGTTAACTTGTGGGATGACGGCGCCATCCGATGTTACTACTTTAATATCTCCGTCTGCACGCTCGCTGAAAGAATCAGCATTCTTGGGTTTACGGCCCCTGCATGTGGGTCTGTAGAGAAGGAGCTCCGATTTAGCCGCGGAACATTCGAGGCCCGTGTCGCGAATGTAGTCCTGTACCACTTCGACCGTCTTCTGCAACGTTTGCTCGATATCTCCGTCATTTCCCTCGGCAACCCAGAGGGTGATATCATCGGCGTATAAGCTGTGGTGGAGGCCTTCTGTCTCATCCAATTTTCGTGGTAACCCGACAAAGACGAGGTTAAAAAGCATGGGCGAAGTTACGGAGCCCTGTGGCGTGCCCGTGCAACCCATGTCTATATCTTGCGATTCTATAGTCAGCCGGTCGCTAAGCGGGCCCGGCGACCTGTAAGGAAAACCCATACGTAGTGGTACGTTCTTTCGCCCAGTCCCAATGCTCGTATGCTTTCAAGTATTGCGACGTATTTTACGTTGTCGAATGCTTTCTTGGGGTCGAGCCCGTGTATTGCTTTTGTAGATCGCGTGGTGGTACTGTCTACGATATTGTGTTCAATTGAGTTGAAGCATACCGTCCTGCGTGGAAAGATTACGATGGAACCCCAGCATCGTGTGTGAGAGCATGTCTCCTCGAGGTAGTTGATAAGACGAGCAAGAACCACTGTTCCATGACCTTACCAATGCAGGAAGTTGGAGATATCGGTCGAAGATTGTCAATCTCTACCTCTTTGCCCGGTTTGGGGGTCATAATTATGCGCGCAGTTTTCTACGAGCTCGGTATAGCGCCCACGCTCCAGCACTCGTTCATGTAAGCTGTCAATTGATCTATCGAGTCATCGTCCAAGTTACGCAGTGTTCGTGTTTTTGTCCCGTCAGGGCCTGGTGCCCATTTCGTATTGAGCTTGTGCACCATAGCGCCCTCACCTCTGCCACACTGAAGTCCTCGTCTTGCTCCACGTTACTCTCTCTCACTATCTCGTCCGTATGTCGGGTGGACGATGGGGCTTGAGGGCGTGAAGTAATGGCAACGCACGTCATCCGAAAAATCCGCGGACGTTCCTTCATTCTCGTACAGTAACTTGTTTAGCTTGTGTGCGTGCGCTGTTTTGGTCTCCTCCGGATCCAAGAGATGCCGGAGATGCCAAGTCTTGGCCAAGCCCAGCTGGTTCTCCATCCCGTTACACGTCTTCTCCCATTGCGCTCTGCATACTTGTAAGGCATGTCTTCTATATCCCTGCTTAGCTGTGCAATGCGTCTGCGTAGCGTTCTATTGTGCCATTGACGCTTCCACTTGTCTTGCAGGCTGCGTTTGGCTTCCCACTACCACAGGTGTAGGAGTTTGCTGTCTATTACTTTTAGCTCTGTTTCCGGCCGAACCTCCCGCGTTGCCGTTTTTACATCGCCCCTGAACCTCGCGGTCTAGCTCTCGATAGCCACGCCGCCACGTTTCTGCTCTTTCTGGGCTTTGCGAAACGGGACCCAATCCACTATAGCCGGTGATGGTTGACCTCGGCGGCGTACCGATGAAGGTGGTGGTGAGGTCCAGCGTCGACCTGGATCTTGATCACTGAGTGATCACTACCCAGGAACTCCCTGCGTATTTTGCCATTGCGCGCTAGTGACTTTCTTAATAAACATGAGGTCGGGTGAAGTATCAGCACATACGCTGTTGCCCCAGCGCGTAGGCGCAGAAGGGTCTGTTATAAGCTCGAGCCCCTCAATCTGCACATCGTCTCAAAGGCACTTACCCTTTGGGGTTTCGTATCCGTACCCACAAGCCGCGTGGAGCGCGTTGAAGTCACCCGCGATGAGCAAGGGCCCGTCGCCAGCTGCTTCGCGCGCCTTTCGCAGTAACGTGCTAAAACGATGTTTGACTTTGGGTCTGCTATATACGTTCAGTATAAACATGCCAAAGCCATGCCTTTTCGCTGGAATAAGCTCTGTGAGTAAATGCAGTATGCTGACGTTCGTAAGTTCGCGTTGGGCCACGGATCGAGAGGTTGCGTCGCACTAGCGTTGCAGCGACCGGCGTTCACAACCTTATTTATAGCTTTGTACGGAAGAGTGTGACATATGGCAGTGGAACTGCCGGGGATTCCGACGAAAAAAGGAACAGCTTTCACAGCTGGTGGCCATGCAGCCGAGGCCACCTGCTGTGATAGCTCTCCAAGAGGTGGGAATAAGGCCAAGCATGCAGAGCTATGACACTCATGGTGAAGCTGTGAATAATAACAACGAATGGGGAGTGGCGACATTAGTCCACAAATCCATAACCGCAATACAGCATAAACCAATAGAAGGAGTCGAAATCCCACATATCATTACGGAAATCCTATATTTGGCAAAAATGGCAAATGGCAAAAAATCTCTCAACTGGAAAAAAAAAAAAAACCTGCCAAGCGACGGGCCGGCGTCTCGCACTCGAAACCGCCCCAGTTGAGGTTTATAAATGTGAATTGCCGAAGCGTCTTAAACA